TTTTGTCCAGTAAATGAAATCCAAGAGTTAGCAAGTCTTCTCATGTGCAGGGACATGGGAAAAACTGGTAAGCAAGGACTCTAACACACACCTCTTAAGCCCTCAGTGCTGAGTACTCACGTGGGGTGCAGCTACGCATCCAGTGGGGGCTCGGGTGTTGTCTCATCCATGGTGGAGGCAGGTGTTGGCCTGCGTATGTAGCAAAGGGCTCAGACAGGGCCATGACAGGATGGGTGATGGCACACAGCTGCCTACTCTCAGAACTCAGCACTCAGGTCTGACACCAGGAGTTAGTGAATGTCTATGGCTTTGACACTCACTTCTAAATGGCACAGGGTCCATGGCAATGTTAGTGTCCTGAGACATTTCTGGGACCTCAAAGTCTGTGTTATCAACTTGTAAAAAAACCCTCTTTCTTCTTTCTTTTTAAATTTTGATTCACTATTTGTTTAAGGCCTGGCTGAGGTGCTGAGACTGGCTGAACTTGTGACCCTCCTGCCTCTGTCTCCCAAAGATGGGAATGACTTCTGTATGGATTAGAAATTTTTAACATGTAAAATATTCATTCCTTTAATGAGTATTTCTTGTACACCCTCTGTGTTCCCGTCCTCTTTTTCAGAACTGTCGGAATTTATTTTTAACTAGGTGTATCTATTATTTTTATGTCATTTAAAGATATTATTAATTTAAAGTCCATCGTAGGATAATAAATCCTCTCCCATCCCATGTATGAATATGATTTTTTTAAAAAAGGCTTACATTTCCATGCATAGAGTTTCAACACCATAAAATATAAAAAGTAGAGACAAAATTAGTAATATTTGTGCGACTATTTCAGCTCTACAGCTACACTCTCCACATTTGTACCCAATATGGATATTAATAGTGCACATTCCAGAGAGACAGGTTGAGGAGGTGAGTGACATGAATATGAAACATACAAGATCACCAGACACATAGTCAAGGACCGATGACAGGATGGAAAGGAAAATAGTAATAAAAGTTATCATAAAGTGAAATGCCAAGTCCCCGACCGAGAGCAACTGCAAAGGAGAAATGAGAAGACTGGTTAATGAAGTTGAGATTAATTGAGAGCGAAAAGGGAGGATTAGCATTAAAACTTAACAAAACCAGGACAGATTTTTTTTAGAAGAGAGTCAGCTGCAGTCATCTGAGCTCAGATGCAGCAGCTCCTTGAAGCCCAGCCCGGACTTCGACCCCCACCTTCAAGGACGCTCATGCTTACTCTTCATATACATCCTCTGATTCCATGCGGCGGTAGTGCTTGGCCAGCTTCACAGCGATGATTAGAGCCGGGAGTAAAAGAAAAGTAGCTTTCCCTATGCCAAACCAAAACAAATTCTGGGGAGAAAAAGAAATCAAAAAGTTGAATTAAAATTCAAGAAAATTAAATACTTGAAGATGGGCAATGGAAAATAATAGGTGCCTATTGGAAAATATGTGTTTTGCAATCTTTTATAAATGAATCTTCATTTTGTTCTTTAAAATTATTTGTGAACGTAACATGAAGCAGCCATTGTCTGAAGGGCCACATGCTACAATCCAGTTTGTTTTTCTGAAAACTTTGAGTAGATTCTATATTTATTATATTATTACATTTATTTTCCAGACGACAAACAGAAACAGCCAGCAGTGAAGCCAGGATTTCACTTAGGACACTCCAGGAAAACTCCAAGTCTCGCCCTCCTCAGATCCCTTGGCTGCCCCAACCGTCCAGCCTGCAGGATGGCCAGCTGTGCGGTGTGAGTCTACACCCCTTCTTGGAGCTAGACTCACGAAACTTTCTCGCTTTGATCTGCCTGTGAGCAGTGGAGGCGCAGCAGCCCCACCCCATAACATAAGTGTGTCAACAAGACAGAAGCAAAGCTGGGCACACGGCAGGGTCTCGAGGGAAGTCCCGTGTTTCATGTTAACCACTCTGAAGGTGGGCCACAGGCTGGGTTCAACCATGTTTTACTTAAAAAGCAAAATTAAAGTGTCCTTTAAAAAACAGTTGCCAATATTTATAAGTCAGATCTCACACATAAACCTGAACTTAACGTCTTTTCTTGAAAAATCTGAGATTGCATTTCATATCCTGGACCCTTGTGCCCATGAGACAGCAGCCAACAGCAGGAGAGTCATGCTTCTCCCTCAAGAGCAGCATTCGCCCTCATTTGGGCACAGACCATGTCATCCTTTGAAGAGTGAAACCCCAAATCCCTTAATGTTACCAAACAAAGCAGTAACAGCTACGCACAGTGTGACCCCGTGGTACACACAGGCTGGTACCGCTTCTGATCAGCATCCTTCTTGGTTGGCTTGTAATCCTGCACATTCCAGGCTCCTATGGAAGTTCAAGTCTGAGCCCTGCCTGGGGACAATGCTGCAGGACCAGCAGAGCAGCTTCCCCAGCCACCATGAGGCAGAAGGCAGCTGGGACACCAGCCTCCACCTGCCTGTCCCAGCCTGGCCAGGCAGCTTTGTTGTGCTCCTGGATGAGCTGGCCGTTGTTTTTTGGTGGCATATCCCTGGCCTCTAATTTCTAGGCTTTCCAATCTTCTGACAGCCACATCCATTCCCTGGAAGCTTCCTAAATCCTTTGAGGAGTGATCAAGATACTAAAGAGACATGGCGGCCAACCTGCATCTATTTTGTTGGTGCAATGGGGTTCCCAGAGCTCTTCCTCGCTGTAAACCACCAGCAGCAAAGATCCAGCCTGTTATCCCCCTGAGCAGCCTCTGGACCTCTCCTTTTTCTGCCCTAATCTTTGCAGAGAGGCATCTAGAAGCTGGGTGATTTGCCTGATTGGTGATGGGAAGTGGAGAGTGGACCAGGAAGAGGTCATTTCACAATAAATGAGGTGAACCCTGGACTGGCCTAATGAAGACTTCCACAGAAGCTGGCAGCAAGGGCCACCAAACACAGGACAGATGGGGCAAGAAGTTGCCACAGGAGGTAAGCAGCCAAGAAGCTATGGCCTGGGGTGCCAGAGTGGAAGGATCATTCCCCTCGTGGCCATGCAAGTCAGCCAGCAAATGAACTTGTGAGCAGGGAAGAGGGAGATGGAGAAAGAGAGCGGGATGCACTGAGTTCTCTGAGCAGCATGTCTTAGGAATGCTCTGTGCCAGCAAAGGGCACAGCAGCGCCCTCTGTCGTGCAGTTCAATGTAACATGTGTTGCAGAGGCCAGATGGTGGAGATACACGCTGGTGCGTAATTCAACAGCAATTATATTTCTCAGGAAAAGCACAGAGTTCTGTGGGAATGTGGAAAAGGGATCCTGTAAGTTTGGAGGATCATAAAATCCTTCCAGAGAAAAGGATACAGTTCAGAAAACTGAACAACAAAGGACTGCTAACAGCTACAGAGGGTGTTCATGAACCAGTAGTGGTGTCAAGGGCTTTACACGGAAGGTAGCTGAACCATCAAAACAGCCCCATTGGGGTGACGAAGCTCAGGAAATGTCAATGGTGTTTCAAAGTCAGAGTTCAGAAAGGGTAGAAGTGGCATTTGAGTTCAGAGTCCATGTTCTCAACCACTGCTAACAGATCTGGAGAAGTTAGTCCAATGCATAGGAAGGGTGGGGAGAAGAGAGAAAGAGAGAGGGAGACCGTCTGCAGACCGGAAGTTGGGTATGTGCAAAGGCCTAGAGGTGGGGAACTTTGAAGAAGTGAAAGGAAATGAGCATGTCTGGAGCCCAGGGGGAAAGGTGGGAAGCAGCACATAATGCGACCTGGGTGGGCAGGACGCTATCATGCTCTGCTGGCATGTTCTCTGTAGGGTGCTGGCCTTCATCGTGGTAGCAAGGGGAAACCACCACAGCACTCTGAGCAGAAGAAGCAAGAGAATCTGCCCACAGACAGGGTCAGTGCAAGCTGAGGGTGAACAGAGGCGAGCAACAAATCTGATAAACCGAAATCTGCCGTCCCCGGTGTCACATGTTAAAACACCTTTAAAACAAAAACGAAGCCTGGATTTTAGCACTGGGCCTGTGCAGAAAGTCACATGAAGAATCTCCTGATATTAGCTATCAGCATAGCAAGGAGTCTTCCCTTCCGATTGTTCCCACCAAGAGGCGTCTCCCAACTTCCAAGTGTAATCTTAGTAAGGAACGAGCAGCTGTAAACAGGACTGTGACTGTTTTGGTCTACTGGGTATCATAACACACTCATCTAAATTTTAGGGTTTAGGATTTGGGTTCTAGACCAAAATAAACCCCAACAGAAAACTAATATAAATAAATATTATAGTGTCTATTTCCATCTGGGGGAAAACAATCAAGATGATGGGTTTAACACGTCTGCTTTTGGAAGATGGAGTTCTCACCAGAGGGTCCACAATGAAGCCACACAGAATCACTTTAAAAGCAGAATCCATGGCGGTGGCCACAGGCTTGCAGGGCACCATCTTCTCAGTGACCTATGGAGGTGAGGGACATAGGAAAACTGAGTGAGCAGATCACCAAACCCCACAACGACTAGACCCTTTTGGCCCGTCTCACATAAGGACCTCCCTTCCTCGGAGATGCGGAGCTGACTGGGGGTTTGTGTGGATGAGTCCCACAGGTGTGAATCCAAGGACTTCAAAGCAAGAACCTTGTTCTCTCTGAGCCTCGGTTTCCAGTTTCCTCAAATGTTATGTGAACCAGAGGATCCACCCTTCAGGGTTGCTGAGAGAACTAAAAGCACACAGATCCAGCAGTGGTTCAGACTGAATTTTTAGTCTGATCCCTTTGTTATATGACAAAGGAGGTGAGAAGCAAATGGAGGAACCCATGTCACAATGGTGTGCCAAGGGACAAGAGGGGATTTGGGAGGGGGAAGGGGCTCCCACCTGGTGGGCTGGTCTCAGAGGTCTTGGTCTCCACACTTCAAAGCCCTTCTACTTGGTGTCAGTCCAATTACCAGGAATCCAATCTCACTTCCTCCATATTTTACCCTAGACAATGACTGTCTTAGGACACCCCATTTATGTTCATAGAAGGTCAACTACTTACAGCCAGCTCCACCCACTCTAGGTAGTGTTCAAAATAGCGTAAGATTTTTTTCGCAAATTTCTTCGTTTCCTAGAAAGAAACTGAAGATCAGTGATGCCACTAAAATGATGACAGCGTACTCAAACACCACAGAGACTTCATCATGGAAAGCTCACAGGCCCATTTATTGATTGGCTTATTTTAAGAAAGAAAACTCACTTCCACAATAACGGAGGAGATATCGTTTGTTATGAAGACCTGAACAGAATCCAAAGACTGCAGGATCTTGGACACTTTCTCCTGGAAAACAGAACAGTAATTAGAAGGGGATCAAGTGATAAGAGGAATTAAACAGACAATATGAAAATCAATTTGAGTGCAGCTGTCCCTGGGAACACGGATTTCAAGAGCCCCCGGGATAGCAAGTTTAAAGATCTTCAGGTCCTCATGTAAAATGGCAGGTGACCAACACATCCCACACCCTCCCATATACTTTAAGTCATCTCCAAATTACTTATAATGCCTGACACGATATAAATACTATGCAAATAATTGTCACTGTATTTTTTAGGGGACAACGAGAAGAAAAACAGTCTGTATACGTTCAGTACAGACTTAGTTATTTCCCCCAAATATTTTCCATTCTGTGGCTGGCTGGACCTGCAGATACAGACCCCCATGGATCCGGACAATCAGTAGTACTGGTGCCCCAGTCCAATGCCACCAAGACCTGGCCCAGTCACCTGAGGGTAGGGGAAGGAGAAGAGCCAAGATCAGGCATTGGGGGGCCAGCACTGGAGTGGAGACTTCATAGGACTTCCTTCCAGGAGAACTCACAGCAAAGTGGGCAGAAGGGTGCTGCTGGCCACTGTTCCCGGAGGAGGTGGCTGACGACTTCAAGACCACCAAGCTGAGAACATACTAAGGTGTAGGAATTTGCCTGCACTGTCATTCCAAGATAGCACTGTGGCCAACCTGCATGAGAGCTTGGTGCAAAATCTGAAGAAGGGTTCCTTTGCCCAAAGTGCTGAGCAACACAGCCTGACCAGTGGGTCACGACTGAGTCCTGGCCCTAGTGCCTCCTGGGCTGGGCCCCGTGAATGCAACCCCAAGCTGCGTGCACTGCTGCTCCAAAGGGAGCAAAAGGCCTGTAGCCAGCAGGGTGTCTCTTGGGGTCCCTTGGCAAGGGATAAAGCATGATGAAATGGCCCCAGGGATTGGAGGTGTAGGGATGGTCAGAGTGCAGAGTGAACCTGAATGTCTTCAGAGAAAGTGAGTCCTGGTATTGGTTCACGGAGAACAGTGAAGGAAGGAACACCGAGATTTTCACTGTGGGGCTCATAGCCAAACCTTTGTGGGCAGCCTACCTACTCAACAAGGAAATATTTTCTTCCTTATTGAGTTGCTTGTTGGCATTTTGTGTACGAGATGATTATAGCACAGCCACAGAGCTGAGTCTCTGTTGTGGGAGTGTTTGTGGCTAGGGTACCCTTGCAGTGGAGCACAGCAACTGTTCCAGATGATTGACACCTTCTCTGGCATGATTTCTCAGGGCTTAGAGCACATAGTTGGCCTTCCAAATTCATAGATTTTGCATTTGGGAATTCAACGAATCTTTTTGGAAAAAAAGTATATGGAACATATAGATATGATTGTTTTCTTGTTATTATCCCCTAAACATTGCAGTATAATAACTATTCATATAGCATTTGCATTGCGTTGAGTAGTCTTGGTAATCTAGAGAGAATTTAAAGTATATGAGAAGATGTGCAGAGGTTATATACAAATACTGTGTATGCCATTTTATGCAAGGGACTTCAGCACTCATGGGCTCTGGTGTCCATGGAGGGTTCTGGAACTGACCCCTCCCCCAGTGAGGGACAACTGTACTTCTCTGCTCTGACCATGATGATCATGGGTGTGGCCATGTGACTTGCTTTGTCCAGGGGAAAATGAACAAAGTGGAATGTGCTAGTTCTAAGCAGTATCTTAAAACACAACTGTGTTCCTGTCACCCCAAACTCATGTACCCACTAAGAGCATGTGAGGTGACCATGACAGAGGCTGCTCCTTCAAGCTGCCTATCTAAGGGGGGAGATAAGTCGAGCAGCCTGTGGGCAGCCCAGCAGTGAGCTGGATGTGGTTAGAGAGCACTGAGTCTTCACACTGGTTTGCTAGGCGTCGATAGCTCTGTGAGATTGCCCCATGTTACCTTCTAGGTTTCTATGCATCAAAATAGATTTCAGTTCTATAGACAACCTGCTAGGAGAGGTCAGCATTTACGGAAGCAAAAATAGAAGGGAAATGGTAGGAAAACCCAATTGGGTATTTAGATGGGTACATACCTGAGACTTTCTTAAAAATTTAAAGTACTTGTAAAAATCAATGTCTCTGAAATTCTATGCATGGTATTTGATAACAAACCCTGTGACAGAAAAACAAAATGCATCCTTACCTTTAGTCCCCCACTTGTGCGTTGAAGAATCTTGATATTTTTTTGTACATCGACCTGGTGAAAAAAACAGAAAATATTGTCAAAACTATTAAACAAGGGAGCAAGAACACACGGCATGTGTCTCCCCGCTCCCCATAATAGCCATCAATCTGATCTTATACTGCAAAGGTCTCATTCTAGAAAAACCAACAAGTAACCATGTGTACCTGGTGTAAGAAATCAGGATACTTGTTCAAAAACTTGGAAAGGGTGCAGATCACATGCAAGGTGCCCAAGAAACGCCTTCAAACTGGTTTGATCAAAGTGGAAGGCATTTAAAACACAGCCTGCCCTACAGTGTGGCACCCCTGAATGATTTTGGTTTGGGGTGGCAAACTTATGAAGGGCTGGAGAGTGAATATTTTGGGCTTTAGGGGCAATGGCCTGTTCCAACGACTCCACTTTACTTCACCCTATAGCCAAGAGGAGCCACAGACAGTTTGGAAATAACTGGGCACCACTGTGTTGCAATAACTTTGTTTACAAAAGCTGGCAGGATTTGGCCTTCAGACTGCAGTTGGCTGACCCTCTTGTCTTTCTGTGGACAAGTTGCCCTAACTCTGAAAAGGCCAAGGGGTCCTGTCTGGTTGAAGACAAGCTGCAAAAGCTGCTTCCAGTGTTAACAGATTTGTTCTGATCTGAACATGGATAGCAGAACAGTGTGATGAGCACGGCACACAGGGAAGTGAGCTCCTCCACAGGAGGACACTGCGCATCCTCCATGGAACTAGGAAGTCAGAAGGCAGAAGAGAGAGACGGAGACAGACAAAAAACTCCATCAGGAAGGTTCATATGTCAGAGCAGGTAGACCTAACCCCCATCTCCAGACTTGAGCAACCGACCTAGTAACCCAGTTTTCACACAATTCCCCCCTTGACAGCTGCGAGTATGACCCACATGCAAGTCTAGCAACAACTCTTTGATTCCTGAGTCCTCTGAGGTCAGAGGTCTGACATCTCCATGAACCAGGGAGTAGCAATGCAGGAATCGTTCCCACCCTTGTTATATCTCATTTTTTAATATTCTGTTTTTAGATGCGGAAACTGAGATACTATAGTTTTTGGAGATGCAGAAGCAGACCCTGAAGCCAGATCTTCCTGGCTCCAAAGTCTTTGTTCTCACTCAGCTACAAGCCTGCCTTGATTATCTCAAGCAATGAGATAGGTGGGGAGGGATGGGAGAGAGAAGAAAGGTAGCAATGGTCAACAAGACAGTAACAGAGCAGACAGGACGCAGGAAGAAAAGCACTTACCCTCACTTTCACATATTTCTAGGCAGAGTTTGGAGAGAAAGAATTAGAGAATACATGAGAGTCCAGAGCAAAATCATCAGCACCTGATGTGCTAGACACCTGGCTTTGGAGGGTGGGTTAACAGCAAGGAGTGGGGGCCAGGCACAGACCAAAGCTAACTGCTCACACTCCACTTGGAAAATGAGAGGAAAATAAGATTAGGGGTGGTTTAATTTAAGTTTTGTGCTCTTGAAAGCCCAGCTCAATTGCTGAGGCTGAGGCCAGTTGGAGGAGACCTCCACGAGATGTGCATGTGGCCTCAGGCTAGATCTAAGTCAAGAAGGTGCAACCCATTTTGCTCAGGTCACCGTTATATCATAGGTAGCTGATGTTACCTGGGTCCTCTCCATGGGAAGGACTTGATCCTGGTGAATTTTTCTAATAGTTTGCGCTTCTGACTTCATGGACTGCTTTAATTGTCCGGGGGGCTACAAAGAGAAAATAAGTCAAGATCCACAGGATCCTTCCAGACTCCGGCAGCTGTAACATAAGCACATGGCTCTCCTTAGGCAATGGCGGCCACGGGTGGGCACAAGGGCTGGCGGAAAGGGGCAGCACAAAATATTCTGTTTCGGATCAGAACCACGGACAAGGCAATACCTGCACTCATGAGGCCTTTCTGAGTGCCAGAGACTGGGTTCCTGCACCACTGCCTCAGGAGGTGGAGCCACCATTGGTTTCTCTGTTTTACAGATGAGAAAACCAAAGTTCAACCGAGAACTTTATATTTAACCCACACTTAAAATGGGGTTTGGCATGCCAACTATAAGAATCCCAAAAGTACTACTTCCTTCATTTGCTAGATGGGGAAACTGAGGCACAGAGGGTTGAAATACCTTGCTCAAGCTTCTACCATTAGAAAGAAACTGAGTCAGGGTTTAAACCTGGGTTTTCCTCCAAAGCCCAGGTTCTCATCACCATGGTCTAATGCTACAAGGGGCCAGTGAAGGCCATGCAGTCACCGACCAGCGGGGTGATGACGAAGCAGAGTCTGTGGGCCCACTGGGGCTTCTGCCCTCCTCGGCCACTTCTGGCTGATGAGGCAGCAAAGCAACCCATGGGACTTCTCCCAGGTCCTCTCTCTGGTCCCTACGCTACAAGGAAAGTGACGTGTGTGTGTGCTTGCACATACAGAAGCACATGTGCTCACACTTGGGGGTCTGAGGACGAAGGAATCAGTGGGGATGGAGGTGGGCCCTGGAAACTTCCAGCAACATCGGGGCCAAACGGCAATGGCCACTGAGGGCAACTTTCCACATGCACAGGAGGGGAGGGGCGGTCAGCAAGGCTGGACTCACTCACAGTGAAAGGGACCTCTGCAGCAGCTTCCCTCTTGGTGGCACTGATATTAGACACCTACCCTGCTACGGCACTGAAGCCAACTATGTGAACTCACCAAGCGGTCTGCTTTTGTATCCAGATCATATGAAAATGATATAAGATTCACTTTTCCAGGAGAGGTTTTACTCTACAAAAGAAATTTAAAAATTTGTGTTATGGGATTTTTAATCCTTAACAACATCTAATAGGCCACCGATTGAAGAAACTCCTCCATAGGTGACATTTGCACTTTAATTTATACCCATTATTTTTATTTAACCATAGAAAAGAATAAAATGCCAACACATGCTAAGACGTGGGTGAAAACATGCTATGTGAACCTCAAAATCAAGCTACACACCAAAGGCCACTTCTTGTATGATTCCATTTACATGAAGTATCCAAATAAGTCAATCCATAGAAATGGAGCACACACCGATGGCTGCCAAGTTGAGGGGAACAAAGGAAGATTGTTAACGGGCACAGCTTTTCTTTTGGGGTGATAAAAATGTTTTAGAATTAGGTAGAATAAAATGGTGTGACAGTGTGAATATACTAAGTGTCACTAAGCCGCACAATTTAAAATTGCAATTCATGCTCTGAATCTCTTCTCATTAAAAAAAAAAACAAAACGCTAAAAAATGAAGTACACACATTCGGTGCCCCACTTTCTCCCCCAAATCACACAGGCATAAGTGGATGATACCTGAGCCAAGAGGGTGTCATAATCTATATTGTCTATCCCACTATTAGAGAATTCCTTGAGGTTGTTTTTTCCTTCCTCGTTCAGAAGAACAATGCCACCAAGTTTTATATCCAGACGTTCAAGTCGATTGTTTATGTTGTCAGTATGCTGATGAAACAAGACGTGGAAACGGAGCCATCACTCTCCAAGCATGTCAAGTACTTAATGCTTTAAAAGGGCAATAAAACTAGGCAAGAATATACGTACATACATACACATACACACATACATATGTCTGTGTACACATGCAGACACGGTACATATTCATACATGGGTGTGTATTTATATCTATATTTCACTGGGATTTCTTCCTCCCCTGCCTCCATGGCTTCTTATATCCTGTGGTCAGCACTTTTCAAGTACAAAGCAAAATAAGATCTCATATCCCTGTCAGAGACCTCAGAAGGAAGAGGCTGTGTCATAAGAGGGGCACACGAATTCCATTAGGGCACCAGGGAGAGAGGAGTTCAAGAAAAGAGGCTGGGAGCACAGAGGGTAGAGAGGAGTGGCTTTGGAGCACCCAGGCTTGCCCAACAGAGATGTTGACAGGGACAGGTGGGCAGGCATCCTAGGGAAGGGACCGCCTTGCACTAGAGCTGGGCAAGAGAAAGACATGGGAGACGTCTTCTGGGAAACAGTGTTTAGTTACTTGGGCAAAGGTCATGGGAACCCTGTGGTTGACCTGGGGTTGACTTAGTGGCCCATCAGTAGTGTCAGAAGTCAGGGAGTGCCTCAGTGTCCCAGTGACACTCTCAACTGCTACCCAGCACAGCACAAGGAAAGTGGCCCATGGCATGATGGACAAAGGGGAAGAGGACACCTAATTAGGATTTGGTGACAAAATTACATTTTATTTATGGACAATAAGCAATATTTAGGGAAGAGAATCAAAACAAAATTCATATGCAGGTTTTGAATAAAGCTCTTCACATTTTCATGACCCCATGGTCTCTCTAGGGGCCGGCCAGAGCTGCAGGACTTGGTGAATGCCTCTTCCTTAAGTTCTGCCTGGAATCTGCTCTCGCGCTGGACACCCAAAAGTAAGAGGACAACATTCTTTCCTGCACAACCAAGAAGGCCAGATGAGGCGTCCAGGCACAGGGGAGTGGAAGGGTCTGGGCCAACAGCACTCCAGACTGGGGCAGTGGGACTCTATTCCTCTTTCTTCTGACCAGCATGCTCTGGAATGGCGTTTTCCTTGAGTCTTAAGAGTCAAGACTGGGGCGTGGGCTGAAGCAAAATGGGAGGGAAAGTCGTTCTATCTGGCTTGCTTCCATCCTTCCTTCTTGCCATGGTTCAGCAGAGACTACCCTGCAGTCCTGGGGCCACAGTGTGATCATAAGGAATAAGGATGGTGTGGACTGTTCTTCCCAAACCTAGGACCTGTCAGACAAGGGGTGATGGTCTTGGAGAACCAGCCTCCCTGGGAAGTAAGTGGGGGTTGCCTTCATAGGAATATCTATGTTGAGTGAAGTGGATCTCTCCCTGGGGCATGTCCTAAGTGAGGCCTCTTGGGAAGCTCTTGCATGAAAAAAATCAAAGACCTCACACTGCAAAAAAGACAACTGGTTGGGGATGAGAAAATGTTTTGAACTGGATAAAGGTGAAGATTGCCTAACACTGAACATATTAAATGTCCCTTTAAAGTGGCTTGTTTTATCTTTTGCAGATTTCACAGCAATTTTAACAAAAGAAGGAAAAACAACTGGATTTAGTAAAACAATGTGTCAGGTCCAGAACTGGCTTCTAAGGACTCACCTTGTGAATGTCGAGACTCTCGCTGATATTGAAGAGGTTCTCGAGTTGAAGTGTGGAATAAATTCCTCTGTTGTTTTTGCAATCACTGTGGGAGCAAACATAGAAATCATGACCCAGAAAAGCAGCATGGTGACCTCGGTCCATATCTGAGAGTGAGGAGGGAGGTTAACTGTTTCTTGCTGTGCAATCTGTGACTAAGTGGGTTCAGGTTGTCACCCACAACCACGTGAATGGCTGGCACCTGCCATTCCTGACTTATTTTCCTCTTTTGTTAACAGTCCAAAATTTGGAACAGATGCAATAGCACTGATGAATGTGTCCTTGCACCTGTCTCCCTTACTCTGTTGTCTGTACTGCTGTGGACAAATTTACAAACTGGGAAGAAATAAATTCTCATAAAAAATACAAAAATAACACTCACTAGAAAGAGGTGCATTGCAAAGTGCATCACAGGCTTTATTAAAAGATTCTATCAAGCCCCTGTCAAGAATATTTCCCCTTCCCATTTCCAGGGCTGGGCTATATTGACTAAACATATGCTTTGACATCTATTCTAATGGTGAGGACCCACAGACATCCAGACTTTTGGTGCAGTTTTCCCATAAAACTAATCTGGTCACCTGGGTGAAATGTCCTCAGCTCTCCATGCCTCAGTCCCATCTCTAAAATGGGGAAGTGCTTATCTAACTGAGCTAAGAAGGATAGGGCTGGTAGGATTCATATTCCTGCCACACAGAGAGTCACATAATAGGGGAGTGTCTTCCTTGCCACAAGAGCCAGTGCCCCCTGCCCCTGCAGGATGCCATGAGCAGTAATTTGCCCACATTCTTAGGAGGTGTGATACCTGCTCCAACCACCAGGTGGTGCTGTTGGAACCCAGAGCTCCATGCACCAACAAAGGTAATATTGCAGAGTTCTGCAAGAGCTGGTCACAAATTGCTGCATGCCAGCTAAGATGCTAGGCCTTGCCTCCCAGCCTGGGGATGGTGAGCAGGCTCAATTGTGCCCAGAGGCTCCAATGGGTTGATAATGTCTGCTTAGAGTTTTCTATTGAGAAAGACCCTGAGACTCCCTGGGTTAAGCTGAAGAGTATACAACTGATTAACAATCTGAGTACAGGTTGAGAGGGGTGGATGCATGCACCACTTGTTTGTGACCTCAGCTGGTGGCACTGTGGAGCTGCTGACATTAAGGCGGGAAGTGATCTGTTTGGTTGGGTCACTTCACATTCCCAGACACTTGCAGGATGAAATGGGAAGCTGCAAGCAAGGAGAGGGAGACAGATTTAAGGAAGATTTAGAAGGTCAATTCAACTCACTCGGCTATGATCTCACTGCCAAGGAGAGGGCGTCCCCCTCTTTGGAGGTGCAGAGGCAAATGACAAAAAGGTTGAAAAAAAAAAAAAAGGGAGCTGGGCGCAGTGGCACCTGACTGTCTTCTCAGCAGCTCAGGAGGCTGAGTCAGGAGGATTGCAAATTCAAAGCCAGCCTCAGGACTGGGGTTGTGGCTCAGAGGTAGAGCGCCTGTCTAGCACACATGAGGCACTGGGTTCGATCCCTGGCAGCACGTAAAAAAATAAAGGTATTGTGTCCATTCACAACTAAAATAATAATAATAATAATAATAATAATAAAACAGCCAGCCTCAGCAACTTGTTGAGACCCAAAGCAACTTAGTGAGACCTTGTCTCAAAATTACTAAATAAATAAAAAGGGCTAGGGATGTGGCTCAGTGGTTAAGCACCCCTGGGTTGAGTCTCTGGTACCCCTCCCCCCCAAAAAAAGTTTTCCATTATGCAGGAGAACAATTTGTGGCACATCACCACAGCAGCAAGTAAAACCCCAAAGATTCCAGAAGGTTTTAAAGGTTTAGAGAAATCTGTATATCAGACAGGAGCTTAAATGTGCTGATGAACAATCATAAGTAAGAACAGGTATTTTGCCATGATATTCTGCTTATGTGGTGCTGGGGATTAAACCCAAGGTCTCCCATGCTAGGTAAGGGCTCTCCCGCTGAGCCACACCCACGCCTGTTGTCATGTCTTTATAAAGTGTCAGGTACTGTTCTAATTTCATGTATTTCACTGGACCCCAAAAGACCCAAGGTGAGATTTCTGTTGTCAAGACCCTTATTGAATGGAGAGGAAGTAGAATTGCTCAAGGTCACAGGGCCCCCAGCTGCAGAGAAAGGATGGGAGCCTAGGTGGCCTCACTGCAGGACCAGCCCGATACCTGCATTGTTGTTGTTGTTGTTGTTGTTATTATTATTATTATTATTATTATTTTGGTACCAGGGATCGAACTCAGGGGCCCTTGACCACTGAGCCACACCCCCAGCCATTTTTTCTATTTTTTTTTTAGAGACAGAGTAGTCTCACTGAGTTGCTTAGTGCCTTGCTTTTTGCTGAGGCTGGCTTTGAACTCATGATCCTCCTGCCTCAGCCTCTCAACCGCACCCAGTCTTACATTGTTATTATCACAGCTGTGATTTGGACACATTCACTGATTCTCACAGGTTCCTGTTAATGCCACATAGAGTCACCTTATCCAGGGAACCCCAAAGATACCTGGAGATAAGGGCCTTAGGCATCATCGTCTCCAGGTTTCAAAGGCTTTCAGAGAAGAATTCTCTTTGGGGCCTCATTTCTACAATCTCTTTGCTAAGTCTAGAGGGCAGCTTAGCTCTGAAACTGAAAAGCCTTATGAGTAAGGTAAAAAGAAACAGATTGAAAGCAAAATTCTTACCTGAAAAAAAAAATTTAAATAGCAAAACATACAATGCAATTATTGGTACCTGTAAATTTGTTCAAAAGTGAGCTCAATATCCGGTTTTTTAAGAACCATGCCAGAGATGTAGTATTTCCATTCCTTGTTTAGTAAGTAGGGGGTGTCCAAAATCTAGAAAAAGTGTTAAATTTTTTTATATTAACATGTATACAAATATCAAAATGAATATTCTCTAAATTATTTTTAAGATTTTTTTTATATCACAATATTTCTCTTTAATCTCCAGCCTGAAACTAGAAAATAATAGTGTAACTGGAATAAATCAATCGACCACAGCCTTGATAAAAATTATGAAAACTACTTTTTTTGAGAACTCAAATTTATTTAGTAAACACATTAGAAATGAGAGTAAAATAGACCATTTGATTGAGACTAGCCAATATAAAGTCATAAAGCAGGGACACAGCTTCTTCATGACTTCCCTCTGGACACAGTAAATGAAGACTCACATGCCTTCTGACTCTGGACCACATATATTTATGTGCATGGCCAGGTATTTGCCTGGTAAGAGCAGGGTAAGAGGATCCCTTACCTGAAATGTTTGGGACCAGAAATGGTTTCAGTTTCAGATTGTTTTTTGACTTTGGAATATCTGCGTGTACAAAGTGGGGATGGAACACAAGTCTAAACACAGAATTCACTTGTTTTACATACTCCTTGTACACAGAGTCTGAGAATAATTTTTACAATATGTTCAATGACTTTGTACATGAAAAGTTTCATGGTGTAAAATTTTCCCCTTGTCAAATTTTGGAAAATTTTGGATTTTGGAGTTTTAGATTGGGGATGCTCAATCTGAATAAATGATTTTAAAATATCCTCTAATTTTAAAGAATTAAGCTAAGGGATTCAACACTACACAGGAGATAATAAATCCTGGTTTGATGTCTTGTTATTTTTTATTAAGAAGCCAAATGGAGATAATGTGATCATCAATCAACTCAATTTAACTTCTCTTGACTAACCGAACTGCCAAAACACCAATGACAAGTGGCTGCCTTTGTAATCATTTACTGATTTCATCTCACCTGATTTGAGATGAAAAACAGACATGCAATTAAAGAAGGAAATAAAATTGTATTTTAAAAATCAGAATTGGCCCATACTTTAAAAAAAAAAAAAATCAGTCTGGAGAAAAACACTGGGAAGTCTAAGTTAGAAGCCAGACAAAACTGCCATCTGTATCCCAGAGTCAGGGGAAGCTGGTCTTAGAAAAAGTGAAAGTTGAATTTCATTCCTGACTGCCCATCATATATCCACCTGGGACGACCCTCTGCCATGGGGTGTATCTTATTAATCTCTTTCACTTTGAATTTAAGGCCATGAACCACGTGGCTGGATATCTTTGTCACTTGGGAAAATCTACAATGTCACAAACCTCAAGAAAGGTAAGGGAGGAACCTTGGAGTTTATCTCCTGATGGTCCCAGCCTCCTTTGGAAACTACTGCTAAGAAGAATTTTACTCTCTCAAAATACCACAATCCACATCGATGTGCAAGTCTTAATTCCTGAAACTGACTTCATTTACAATCAGAAAACGAGAATACTATTATATTACTATGTATGTATCTTTCTGTGTGTATACCGGTGTGTGCTTTTTGGTCTTGCAAAGAGAATCAACTTGTTGAATTAAAAGCAAACCACTCAGCAGGGTGCAGTGGCGCATGCCTGTAATCCCAGCAGCTCAGGAGGTCCAGGAGGAGGATTGCAAGTTCAAAGCCAGCCTCAGCAACAGTGAGGCTCTAAGAAACTCAGTGAGATCCTGTCTCTAAATAAAATAATAAATAGGGCTGGGGATGTAGCTTAGTGGTTGAGTGCCCCTGAGTTCAATCCTCGGTACCCACGACTGCCACCCCCAGAAAAAAGAGCAAACTCCTCATGTTTTTGGTGGCGAGATACACTCGCTACCAAAACCATGACCACTGCTCTTCAAGTAACCCACAAGACATGGAGAAACCCAAGTGTCCATTCGAGTCCTCCCACAATGAGTAGAAAAGCATATTTACCTGGAATATCTTCCTATTTGCATAAGGTTCACAGATTAGTTTTTCCATATTCACACCAGGAACAAAAGAAAGAACCACAAGGATCATCACTATCCAGCAAAAGAGGAAACAGAATCCAACTCCACTGGGAAAAAAAAAAACAAAAAAACAAAAACACAGATAAAGTCAGAAATTCTGCAAAGATTTAGTCTATATTACCTAGCAGTGCTTCCTACCTCGTCAGTGTACAAAGTGGACCTGGTCCTCTGCATTGTGCAGGTTGACCAGATCAGCCTGCCTGGGGGTGAGGAGGGAAGGGATCAGCACTGTGGTCTTTCTGTCCTTGGCAGACCACAGCAGACCAGAATGCTGTCTAGCATTATGGGCTAGAGCTGGGTTCTGGAGTCAGTTGAGAACCAATCCTTTCTTCAAAGGATACAGTAGGGTGAGAGATTCTAAGCATCCACAGGAAAGGTGGAGAATGGCGTCCACAGCAGCTCCAGAGGCAGGGAGGGGTGCACTGAATGGGGCCTGGGAAGAACACAGCCTGGTTTCTCTAGTAAGGAGAGCAGTCTTGGTGCAGGGAGGAGGATGGGTTGGACAGGCCTCAGCCCAGACGGGACACTGCTGATGGAGAGAAACCAGTGGATGAAAGGGATGCAGGAGTCCAGAGGCAGCCAGAAAGGATAAAGGTGGGGAGGGGCCCCAGGGTGGTGGCAGGGAACACTGAGGCACCCTACAGGAAGAGAAGGTGAGAAAGATGTCAGTGATATGTCCTGTGGCAGTGAAGATGTCAGGTAGGAGTTCAACACGTGTGTGCAGTGCAGACTTCTGGCTACACAACACCTCAGGAGTCAGCAGCTTAGAGAGAAACATGTATCTGGGAAGAGAGAAGCCGCCACAGATTGCTCTCCTGCAAAATGAAAACCTTATTTATTTATTTATTACCAGGGATTGAAATCCAGGGGCACTAAACTACTGAGCCACATCCCCAGCCCTTTTTATTTATTAGTTTATTTTTGAGACAGGGTCTTGCTAAGTTGGCTGAGGCTGGCTTTGAACTCATGATCCTCCACTAGGATTACAGGTGTGCGTCACCACACCTGGCTGGGGATCTCTTGAAACATACTATCTCCAGTGCCTCATTATTATACATCTAACCACAAAAACACACCCCTGCTTAGGATGCTTCTTTCCTAGTTTGGTCTACTTCCTTGCCAGAGATTCTCTGAAATGAGAATTACTGGGCAAAGGGCATTCTGGTCTTCCCACTGCCACCAGCCACACAGATGTGCCCCTTCCTTACGCTTGTGGTTGCCCGTAAGTCTAGGTGATGGGGACATTGTTTTCAAAGTTTTATCATGAGCTTCAGTGCAGGAGATCGTCACTGCATATGTCAGGTTCCCTTGTCTCTGGGAACCCTCTCCATCGCTGCAGCACAAAACATGTTCCCCGCGGCATCCTGCTCAACCCCTAAATGCTCTGGGGACCCTCGGCAGGCAGGACCCAGGCAGAGCCAGGTGTAAGGAAGACTCGTCCAGTCTCTCACCAGAATCTTTTTGGGAGATGGGAATTCTTGCATGCTCTTGATAGGACAGTGTCACTGTTTTTAAAGAGCAGGTGGGGACGGGGTTACAGCAGAACTAAACTCGGGTCTCCTGATTTCTACCAGGGAGTCGACAGCTGGAAAGAAAAAACTTCACCTGGCGGTCAGTCTGATGAGACGGACTAGGCTTGCGCCATTCCCCCGATCCCCTTTGCATCTATCCAGCTGCTTGCCCGATGTCCCAAGGGGTGGAGACTTCTGCCCAGCACAGCAAAGCCTGCCATGAGCCGGAGGTGGGGGTGGGTAGGGGGGTGGGGGATGGGGGGGTGCGGGATCAACAGTGAAGCAATCACAGCCATCCTGCCTCTGGGCAGGTAATCTGTCCTTCACCTGCCTTCTTCCTTTCCATAACCCTAAGGTTTCCACAGAGCTCTATCTCCTTAGAAATCCCTTAATCTGCAGAAGAATTCCAACTCAACTGAAGGCACCTGTAACCTCCACCAGTCTGTTGGTGACTTCCCTGTTCTTTTTCTTTGAAGGTAGATGTCAGATTTTGTGTTGATCCCAAAAAACTGTGAACAGAACTTATGAATGTGTCTTTTTAGAGCGAGGTACTTCTCCCCTTTCAAGCAGTTAAAAAAGGTGGAAAGGAAACACTCGTCACCAAAAACCCTGACCACTGCCGAACGCCCACATTATTCGACTTGCAATGCTTAACTGGTTTCCTACCCGTGTCTGTGTATGTTTGACCAAAAAGGCAAGACAAGTATCTTTTTTTTTTCCTTGCTGGCTTAACTTCTGATTCTTTTCATTCCCGGTTCGGAGGTACTTGCATTGGAGCGTGATTTCTTAAATCTGGGTGTGTGTGCAGTTCTTCTTCTGGCCTTAGCAGTCCCAGACCATTAGCTTTGAGGATGTTTTTAGGATCCCTGTGCCACATTAATGTTAGTAAGGGCTTGTGCTACACTGGCACCCATTTGAGGCGCCCATTTGAGGGAAAGCTCTGAAGACTTAATTTTATAAGAATTAATCTTATATTAATATTATAGTGATCCCATGTTTGACACAGCAGATGGTGGCGTGCCCCCTGCTCTCCAGCCCTTGCCACTCCCATACTAGTGGCTTGAGGAGATAGACGGGAGCATGAGGCTATTCCACAAAGGGTTGTTTCAAGGCTTTACCTTCCCCCCACCCCATCCTCAGCCTGCCACTCACCCTCGGTGGAGCTCATCAGAACAGAGACGCACACTGGGAGCCCACATGGCTTCTCTGCGGGGCACACAGAGCCACTACACCTGCATCCCCCTGGTTGGCACTCCTGGCTCTAACTCCAGGCACACCTGCTGGCTCCTGCCCACTCTGCTTTGCTGCTGTCTGCTGGAGTAAAGGTTCCCAAATGCAGGAACCTAGATCTGAAGGCCTCTGAAGCAGTGCCAGGGCTCACCACTTCTGTTCTTGTCCCTAATTTAGGCTATCTATGTAAATCCCCAGGGGGCTAAACTCAAGTTCCTTGAGTGGCAAGCTGGCAGCAGTCCTAGCCACATGGCACGGTGTCCGACGGGAGGTCCTCCCAGTTGCTGGAGAGTGAATGGATGAATGAATGAACACAGTGAGAAACAGTGAGAAGTCAAGAAAGTGAACTTGGAAGTGACCTCCATGAGAGCGGCTTTTAAAGGCAGCTCACCATTTGGAAACAGCTCTTTTAAGCTGCTCAATCAAAGTGGAACCCATGAAGCTTTCTTTTACTTGACAGCACCATCACCCCAAGACGCCTGCTCCACTGAAACCCAGAGTGTGTGGCCCAGAGGGCACAAGTCTGGTGTAATGCCACAGATGGCCCTCGCTCGCCTCCCCACGTCTCCACACCCAGGTGCCAAGAGAAGCAAACACTCACACCATGAGGAAGATGCCTCCCGTGTTGGATACGAAGCCTCTGGTGGTTGGGGTAGCGTGCTTGTCGTAGCCGTAGACGCCACACAGCAAGCCCAGGTAAAAAAAAATCACGATGAGTAACAGCAGAAAGCAGGAAATCAGGCTACACAGCCACCTGGTAAGGCAAGCACAGGGTCATTGTGAGTAGGGCAAGGGAGGGCATCCCACCCTAGGAGCTGCTGACCAAGGCCACAGGCCTCCAGGGATTTCCAGCAATCTTGACATCAGAGTCCTGGGGATCCCTCAGAAGGTAAGACAGTGGGATGCTGAGACAGGACTGGCCCAAGTGAGATGCTTTTGCCTTAGCTTTGAAGTGCTCTCTCAATGGCTCTGTTTGTTTCCTTCTTTAGAATTTATTTCCAAAGGTTTTCCTTGGTGCTCATTGCAGGGCAGCCTGCGCTACTCCAAGACTACTGGTAAGAACACCCAGTAAGCTGGGCACAGTGGCACAGGTCTGTGATCCAGGCCACTGAGGAAGCCCAGGCAGGAGGATCACAAATTTGAGGTGATCTCACTAAATTGAGTGAGAATGTCTCTAAATAAATAGATAGAACTGGGGGTGTTGCTCAGTGGTAAAATGCCCGAGTTGAATCTCTAGTATCAAAGTCTTATGGCTTAAGACGAATTTCAAGTTCTTCCTGGGTTCCTGATGTGGAAGTACCTACTTCCGTGGATAGATCATGATTAGAATACTAATAAAGAAATACCAGACTCTTTCCCACTGGACTTTCTCCAAAAGTATCTTGGGATCACAGTAATGTTCTAGGGCATTGTGTTCCTTACTGAACCAGAAATACTCTGTGTGGTGGATGCATGGAACATTTAAAATTTTATGAGCATCCTAAATCAAACACCTTCAGAATGGAAATCTCAATTTTGGAAGGGTCCAGTGAGACATTTTAGGATAATGGATCCTCAATTAAGTCTTCCTGGCATTATCCAAATGTACACCACCCTTTCCCAGCAGCTAAGGGGCATTCAAGGGTACATCTCCTTCCCAACACTTCAGAAACCAACAAACAAAGGATTTGCTTCTGCTTACTGCCTCTTGACAAAAGTTGCCACTAAAGCTTTTCATTCAATTAAGAGCAGTTTTGCTAATTATAATGAGAGCTACCAGCAGCCATTCTGGGGAGGTTTTGTTCCAGATATTCAGGACACAAAATTAAAGAAGTCAGGGACCTTGGCCTCAGAAAACTTTTGGAGTTACTAAATCATTCATTTGGTTAAATTTCTTTTTAAAAATAAGCTTATGGGGCTGGGGATGTGGCGCAAGCGGTAGCGCGCTCGCCTGGCATGCGTGGGGCGCTGGGTTTGATCCTCAGCACCCCATAAAATAAAATAAAGATGTTGTGTCCATTAAAAAACTAAAAAAATAAATATTAAAATCTCTTTCTCTCTGTAAAAAAAAAAAAAGAAAAGAAAAAGAAAAAAAATAAGCTTATGATTTCAGGCGGGAAGAAGAGGAAGAGAGAAGCAGATAGACAGGTAACTGCAGTCCTCTCTCCCACCTGTGAAACTGTGATGGCTAATGAGTTTTCAAGATCATTGAGAAAGGCTCTGTCTTGTGTCCTGATAGCTGTGGAATGGTCCACAATGAAGACACAGCCAGTGTCCCAGGAAGTCATTCATCCTGGGGTCACGACTAATAGGACCTGAAAGGTCACCTCTGCCATGCGTATTCCATCTGGGCTTAGCTGAGTCACTTTACTTCCCTGAGCCCCAACTTCCTTGTCCCCAAAGCAGGGTCATCAATGGAGCACAAGCAGGGGACTCTGAGTGCTGAATGAGATGTCCTGTGTAAAGCACAGGGCGGGCACACTGAAACCCTAACCCTGAAACGCGAGCACCATCTTGGTTATCGTTTTATTATTTATCTTGTTCTCTTGCACAAAAAAAAATAACCTGCAGAGTAAGAAGCAGGCTGTGGACTCTCCATGGGCTTTGGCACTGTGGACTACCAAGGGACACGAGGCTGAGGAGAAAATGCATTTGACATCTCAGAGGATCTGCTAAATTCCACAAGCCCCTGAACCCTTCCCCTCTCCCGCATGGCTACCCGTCCTCCCCAGGACCACATGACCACATCGCCCCAGCTGCACCTTGTAAACAAACACAGGTGCAGCCACGGCTCACCTGGGCTTGGAGAGTTTAGTTACTGGTTTCAAGCACAGTCTCTTAACACCACACTCTTCTGGTAGAACCAACCACGATACCTTTACCTCATCAGAAAAGAAGACCTTCCAAATGTCCTCGATTACTTATTGTTTTAAACTCCCACCACATGCCTGGCTTACTAATTATAACAAAGATTCTAGAAGCCACTCATGATATCAAAACTGAAAATCATTCAATATTTGACTCAAGAACTTCAAGTCTGAAACTTGAAAAAAAAAATATGGAGTCCATCATGAATTTGCATGCCACCCTATGAGTCATGGGCCATGCTGATCTTCTCTGTATTGTTTCAGTTTGGGTCTATGTGCTAAGTGAGCACTTCAGCCTTCTGACTGAACATAAACTAGGGTTCACCCATATCAGGTCCTGGCTTCTCAGTAGGACTTGCTTTCCTAAGGTTTTCCTGGCGCTAACAAGAGATTTTGTGGGGCATTGCACACCAAGTTGCATGCTCCTGGTTCACCAGTCCAAGCAGGCACTCACCAATAGGAGTCAACTTCTTCTGCCCGATGCAACTTCTGTTTGATTTCTTTTTCAATGTCATCCATGTGACTATTGAACTCTGACAAGGACTTCTGAATAGGAATATCTTTGGTTGCATCCTTGACGTTGGAACCCACGGTATTTAAGAGCTTTTTGATTTCTGAAATCAAAGCGACGTTGGTTATGCATTTTCCAACATGGGAAACAGAAATGTTGTTTGGGAACCAAAGAGAAAAGCTCAAGCCACTTTCAGTTTTTCCCATGTTATAACTGGTTTGTAATAAGATAGGATTCTACAAGAGCAAACAGCCATTGAAATGGGAGTTCATAAGCCACTTGAATCAAATGTATGAAATATGATATGCCAAGAGCTTTGTAATGTTTTGAACAACTAATAAGAAAGAAAGAAAGAAAGAAAGAAAGAAAGAAAGAAAGAAAGAAAGAAAGAAAGAAAGAAAGAAAGAAAGAAAGAAAAAGAAAGGCAACGACTTCACAAAACAGTGGCTGTAGGTGGGGACACCGATAAGCCATTAATGAAGTCAAGCCACACGGTTTTCTTTTCCTTCCACTACCTTGCTAAAAATAAACAAACCAACAAAAAAACAAATCAGAGCCCGGTGCAGTGGCACTGGCCTGTAATCCTAGCAGCTCAGGAGGTTGAGGCAGGAGGATTACGAGTTCAAAGCCAGCTTTAGCAACTTAGCAAGGTCTTGTCTCTAAATAAAATACAAAAAGGGCTAGGGATGTGGCTCAGTGTCCTGAGTTCATTCCCTGTTACCACACACACACACAAAAAAAAATCAGGTAAATCATATACAGGGTATGGCCACCACGTTCCATGCACTTTTGTAAATATCAATTTGGTTATTCTACTGAGGCAGGTATTCTAAACCCCCATTTTAATAAAACTGCCCTGAGGCTCACCAAGGTTAAGGTGAGCCATAGGTCTCTTTTTAAGAATATGCTGGTAATGAGGTTAAAAGCATGGTGTATCTAAGACTGAAGCCCTATTATATGATTTTTTTTTTTTGAGGGAAAAACACTAACTTCTCAGCCTAAGAAATGGCATCCAGAAACACAGTAATTCTCTAGGATCCTTTTTTTGAACAACTGACCCTAGGTGATATATTTGTTACAATTTTACTTGACTCCTATAGTTTGGGACGTGTTAAAGAAGGACATCTGTGCCCCTACATGCAGAAAGCAAGGTACTTCCCAGTGGTCAGTTTACATTATCATTGGTCTCATTTCTCAGAATCATGGGGCTCTGGAAAGATCTGCCCATCAGGACCGCCTGGGCCCCAGTGAGTCCCCTGAGCTGGCAGTGCTGAGGATGGCCCTGACCACAGTGATTCTTTTTTTTCCAAGGCTGGGAATTGACCCCATGGCTTGTGCCTGCTCTACCACTGAGCTAAGCTCCCAGCCCCACAGCAATTCTTGACACGGATGTACTAAGAATAAGACGCACTAATCAATTAAGAGCCCACTGATCCTGAAAGACAGGGAAGTCTCTCCGTGGCAGTAGAGACAGGATGAGCAGTTCCCAAAGGTGACACCAGGGTTCTTGGCGAGCAGTAGCTGAGTGGTGAAGGTGGCGGGTTAGTCTAAAACACAATTGCGTAAAAAGTGGTGGAAAACTTTGCCAAAGTGTGTTTGTCACATCCGTGTGAAATCCAGAAACCAAAGGTACAGACAAGAGCAACTGCAGACCAGGTGCTTGGAGGTGGCTCACAAGGAGGAGAGTTGTTTCCTGGTGGCTCACAGCTTCCTCCAAATGGCTCGTGTGCCAAAATACCGGAGGCTCTGGATCAGAAGAATCTTGTAGGCCTCTTCCCTAACACTGGGGTTTCAAAAAACATGACACATGGACCCCATCTGATATGCACAGCTCCTGGGGGCCCTGTCTGCTTCTTGGCCTGTCTTGTTCTCACAGTCCCCAGCCTTGTCAGCTGTGGTGACTCCGTGTGTGGCACGTGCCCTCTCTCAGCAAAGACCTTCCAGACTCAGTCTGGACGCTGCTTTTCCCAGGAAGTTGGCCATTACCCCTTACCCACCTGGATCCCTTGCTCATCTGTGGCCAGGTCACCCAACTCTGATCAATGGCATCTGTACACATGGCTGGCTAAAGGACAGGCAGGGCCATGCCTTAGACTTCTCACAGCCCCAGCACCTGACACAGCCTTGCACACAGTGGGCACTTCAGGCCAGGCCCAAAGGGGCAGGACGTGGAACTAAGGACACAAAAATAAACACTAGATCTCCAGGAGGACACCGTGGCCCTTGCCTGGCCCTGGGAAATGCTGGTGTGTGTCCAGGCAATGACACCAGGTGCTCCGGCCTCTCTCAGACTCACAGGGAAAGACTGAACACACGGGCATAAGAGGCCCAGAGAGGAGAAACAAGAATTAAATACAGGTTAATAAGCAGAGGGCTGCAGACAAACAGCATGCCTTCAGTCCCAGCAGCGCCTGAGCTCTGTCTGCAACCTCTTCATGGCTCCATCACCCCAAAAGAAGCCCACAAGACATCTAAAGCTGTAATGAGATAAAATGCTCTTTATCCAGGGCTGGGTTTGTGGCTCAGTGGTAGAGCTCTTGCCTCACATGTGTAAGGCACTGGGTTCGATCCTCAGCAACACACGAAAATAAATAAATAAAGGTATTGTGTCCATCTACAAGTTAAAAAAAAAAAAAAAGGAAAAATGCTCTTTACCCAAACTCTTAATGAGCTGAAAGAACACTACAAGGAAAAACAAGGTGAAATTATACTAACAAAATATTTTAAACCACTTGGTAACAGATACAAAGAATGGTTAAAAGGAGAGAGAAAGAAAATGGTCTTGCATAGATGCAGAAAGTTCTTCTCTAAGCAAATAACCATAAGTTTATTCCCATCCCAGCACACAAAAAAATGTTGCATTCTGTCACCACCACCATCCCCAAAATATCATGTCCTGAACAGGCAGGATTCAGTCATTTAACACCTGAGAATCTCTCGCACAGGTTCTGTCTCTCCAAGTCTGTAAACAACCTTAGGAGCCTAACATACCATTATATCAGCATCATGAACAGGAAAAAAAAAACTCCCAAAAAGACAAAATAAGTCCTGACAGTCTTCCTAAACATAATCTAATTAATTAATTTTAGAAGTTCATTTTTAAATCCATTTAGAAAATAAAATAATGTACAGAGTCCCCTTCCTCTGGGAAATTAGTCAGAATGTGACCTTCTAAAACACAGCTGCCCTCAGGCCTGTGAGAGCCGTGATGGGGACTCACGAGCCCAGTGCAGCTGTCAGCCCCAGCACCTGGTGGCTAGTGACCAGAACTGTGTTGCTTGGAAACATTTTGTTGTTGTTGTTCAAATCTGCGTCACTGACGGAAGATGACACAATCCAAGGGCTTTGATCTTCACCTAGTTGTCAGGGTTTTAGCGAGAGACCTTTTTTTTTTTTTTTGATTAGAAAAGAACAATACAATTCACAACCACATAGTTCTTTGAACTGACCAACCATACAGTTCTTAACAAAGAAAGGTACCGAATGACCTCAGAAGATGACCTCACCTGCTACGATGTTCGTGGTTTGGACTTGCACCCTCTTAGGAATGTCATTAAAGGATTGGTAGCCCTAAAAAATATTTCAAAGTTAATTGATGTACAAGGTGAGCTGAAAACCAGTTGACCGGTGTTCATTTTTCTGCTTACTATGGAGTACCTTACTATGGAGGACAGAATTAAAACAAAAGTGTAACATTCATCTTACAGCTAAAATGAGCATATTATGGTCATCAGGACTCTAAAAAAATTCCCTTTAGAGAGTGTTTTCTTCAAATTGAATAAATCAAAGATCAAGTTAATTTTTTAATATATATATGGTATCCCCTAATTTTAAAATCTCCCTATTTGCCCACAACAATTCTAGGAATTATTATGGATATATACACTATATACATACACACACACACACACACACACACACACACACCCCAGTGGAGATGTTTTCTTAGGGTGCTGTGGGTGCTGTGCAAGCGCAGGCCAGCAATGCTAATAAACACCCTATGATGCACAGGACTGTCCCCACCAGCCCAAGGACAGTGCTGAGGTTAAGAAACTGTGAGCTGAACAGTCACTGGTACAGACATAACGTGAAGTTCTGAAAACAACTGTACTTTACAGTGCAATGATCCAATAAGAGATCTAATCTCACAGGAGGAAGGGGAAGAGGTCCCCAAACGCAGCCTAAAGAGAATACAAATGGCAGTGAGGCTAAAACAAGGACAGCCACACCAAGCTGGGTGGCTCTGGGCTAACCCAGGAGAGGGCCACGGTATTTCTAAAGAACTTCTCAACATTGGGCCTTCCCTGGAGGGGTTCAGTTTGTGTTTAGCTGCTTGCTGGAGCCGTCAGCCATCTGCCAGGGGTCACTGCCATGCTTCTGAGGTTCATAAGATTTAGGGGCTACTCAATTCCCAGTTCAGTCTAGCTTTGTTGGGTGCCAAAAGAAGAAGGGCCACAACCTCTGTTCCCTCAAAGTCAGCTAAGCTCCTGGCTTGTGTGTGTCTGCTCTCTTCACACACATCCACAGGTGGACTTGTAGATGTCACCATCACGGTATCCTGGCTCAATTCCCACTGTATAACAAGCCAAGTGACTCCAGGATGCAAAGATCAATGATGTCAAATGACTTAAGGGGACACTCGCCTTGGAGATAAGTATAGACTGTATTAATCGCTTCTTGAGGTTTCTCTATAGCCATGCTTAAAGACACAGCATCGTGAACAAGCTTCTCTCCCCTTTCCTATAGGTCCAGGGCACGCTACTGAATCCCAATCCATGAAGAATCTTTATTGCATATTCAGTATCCACTGGTTGAATAAATCACAGTTGTTGAGCCACCACACAAATCATGGTATCCCAGGCCAACGCTGCCCTTGCCTTTGTGCGGTTCTCAGTCTGGTGGGGGAACAGAGTCATTAAAGGTAGTTATGGGTAATTATAGCTAGGAGGACTTTAAAGAATATTTTATGTGCTATAAAAATGTATTTTTAAAGTGTTGACCTAGTCAAGATGCCAGGAAAATTCTTGCTAAGAGGGTGACACACGGGGATGTAGTTCTGAGGCAGACTATGAATTTAGCATGCACGAGGCCCTGTGTTCCATCCCCAGTACCAAAATAAACAAACAACTGAACAGGTGGTATAAAAAGCTTTAGAAACCAAGTAGCCAGACAAAGGACGGGGAAGAAGAAGAGAGAGCCAGGTAGAGGGCAAGCAGGTGTGAAACGGGGAGGAACAGAGAACCAGTGTGGCCAACTCCTGGGCAGACGGCAGCCTTCATATCAGGATTAATATGGGCCCTGCACCCGTTGGATACTGAGCCCAGGAAAGCAGAGCCAGGTTGATCTCCAATGGCCTTGGAAGGGTGCTTCGCATATAACAGACGCTCAACTAAAACTTCTTGAATTGGAATAAAACAAAATAGGTCTCCCTCTTCTTGTCAGTCACTCTCCAGAATGTCATTTTTTTTTCTGTTTCCTAACATCTTACATTTCAGTTTATTCTTTAAAGTGATCCAGAAACAAATTGATCTATTTTTTCCCAAAAAAAAAAACAAAACAACAAAAAAAAAACATACCTTTTGGACCATGGCATCCAAATCATTTCTGAGAACATTATTAATATTTTGAAGTTCTGTGTCCATAGATGGGAGCTGAAAATTCACACAACAAAATATAAGGCAAGGTGGTTACTCCCAAATTAACCCACAAAAAAATGGAATTAACTTGTATCCAAGCTCCAAAGCACTGATATTGTAGGGAACCACTCCACTTTTCTCTCCCCCCCACCCCTCAATAACCCCAATCCATGTGGGGACTGAATCCAGTGGTGTTCTACCACTGAGCTAATCCCCAGCCCTTTTAATGTTTTATTTCGAAACAGGGTCTCGCTAAAGTTGCTGAGGCTGGCCTTGAATTTCCAATCCTCTGCCTCAGCACCACCCCCTCCCCGAAGTAGCTAGGATTACAGGCAAGCATCACCCACCCAACCTTGCTTTCTTTGGAAAGTTTGGGAAAACTCATTTTACTCTGCACAGCATGGATAAGCACTTTTTTTTTTAGATGTTTGGAGGACTCCTGATGCAGTCAACTAAAACTGAGGCAAAGCAATGCAAGACAGAATATATGTGACCTTCTAGTGAATACAGCAGTGAACAATATTGTAAAAATCACTTTTAAAAGTAATACAGGGGGCTGGGGATATAGCCCAGTTGGTAGAGTGATTGCCTTGCATGCACAAGGCCCTGGGTTCAATCTCCAGCACCACCAAAAACAAACAAAAAATAATACAGGGGCTGGGGTGCAGCTCAGTAGTAAAGAGCCCGATTAACATGCAAGGCTCTGGGTTTGATCCCTGGAACCAAAAAATCAAATAAATAATATTAAAGGAATACAGTGAGCGGGGACATTATTGAGAAGCCTGGAACAAGTTTTTCAGGCCCAGCACTGCAGGTGCCTCGGAAATCTCTGGTTCTTACCAACACTTGGCCAAGTGTCACATGTCTCTTGACATTATGTGCCAAGGAGGACCCAGCATCACTCTACAATGAGTCCTTGGCAAATGCAGGTAACTTAAATCCAATACAAGAGATCACCAGACCAACCTGAACAGATGGCCGCTCCACCACGTAGGTGGCCTGCTCAAAAATGTCAGTGAGGGCTGGGGCTGGGGCTCGGCGGTAGAGCGCTCATCTCACATGTGTGAGGCCCTGGGTTTGATCTTTAGCATCACATAAAGATAGATAAAATAGAGGTTTTGTGTCCACTTACAACTAGAAAAATATTTAAAAAGAAAAAAAAAAAGTCAGTGTCACAAAAGAGAGAGCCTGAGAGACTGTTCCAGAAGAAAGAGGCATGACACTGAGAGCGACATGTGGCCCTGGCCAGGACACTTGGCTGCAAAGTGAAAAGATAGCTGTGAAGGGAATTTTCAGAAAAACAGACACCATTTGAATAGGAACCGTGGTGATGGTGGTAGTGCTTATTGAAATATAAAACTAATACGTTAAATGCCAGGGAAACGCATGCCCATTTTTTTCTACATTCCAGAACTTTATATATTCAAGTTGCCTGAAGTTCTTTTGGGAGGGAATCTACTCTTTGGGAAAATGGATGAATTGCCTTCTATTTGGGGGTTAATACATGAGGTATATGGTTTTAAATATATATTTTAAATTTCTACAGGAAAGTGTTCTGCTCCCCTTATTATTTTTTTCAAGTTGAATGTATTTCACCAAATGAAGGGAGCTCCATTGCATTCCTCTGCTCCTGCTGTAGCCACTCCCCTGCGGTGATGAGATGCCACTGTGCCCCTGACAGGTATACCGGTGCTTAGCCATGCCCACTCACCGGAGCTCGGGGCCCTGATGTGGCAGGCTCCAGCGGCTCACCTTGCTCAATTCGGGGTTGCCCTCCAGCTGGCTCAGAGACGACTCAATGTTCTTGCAGATGTCACTCACTTGTGGAAGAAGGCACTCAGGGCCTTGCAGAGAATTCTGCATGTTTTGTTTCACGGTAGACAGGCTGTTGCTGAGCTGTTGGCTTCCATCCCTCAGGCTCTTAAAATTCTGGTTCATGTTCTCCAGGGCCACCTTGGTTTCTTTAATTGCTGCGGGAACACAGCCCATTTCAGAGCAGAGACACCAGGGCCCTTCCATCTATAAGACTGACCTAAAGGAACTTGTGACGAACTTGTAAATGGCCTTAGACCACTGCAAGGGGCAGTCTGAGAGGAAGCACAGGGGCACTGCTGGGCTGCTCTGCCAGCTCCTCTGACCAGCTCAGCTCTATGGTATGGGGGTCTCTTTCAACCAAGAAGGTGGGGCCAAGGACCAACACAGGACTGTGATGGGGACACCTCAGTGCCCCATTACTTGGCCAACAACAGCATTACTGCCCAGCCTTGAAGAGGCCAGTCCAAACAAATCCATCCCAAGTGGTTTGAATCCATATAAAAACAGATTACACTTATATTTTAGTTATAAGTATTCAAAGAGCTGGAATAACCTACAGATAGTTGAGAGGAGAGTTTTAGATTCAGGCAGATTTAGGTATAGATCCGAGCTTTGTTACTACCTGCGTGACCCGAAGTAGATTCTGGAACCCCTTAAAATCAATTTATTCTTATTAAAATACTGAAACTATCACCATGTTGACCATGGGAACCTGTGGGGAAGACTAATCAGACCCACACTCCTCAACAGCAGTGAGTCTGTCTACATGGCTTTGGGAGTCCCACAGCCTAGGACACAGACTTATACCAGCAAGTCCCAAATGATGATGGCTTTCCTGATTCCTCTGGAGGGTGGAATCCCCTACCAGAGACTATGGATGTGAATTACAACTGTTTTTTACAGTGGCTCAAAGCTACAGCGGTAATAGTCATGACATTTAAACTGGAGGTCACTCTTCTAAACAGGGAAGTCTTTGTGGTCAGGCCTTTGCTCTGTGGCTTGCAAAACAGATAGCAGAGCATCAGGCTGCAGTGCAGTGTTGCAAGGGAAAATGTGAAAGCCCTTAAAAACTGCTTGCAGTACCTTCCTGCAACCACATAAAACTCGACATAGACACACACACACACACACACACACACACACACACACACACACACACACAATGGTACCATGGAATCTCTCCAAAAGTAGCACAAGTTCTACTTCTATCTTGTATGGCATCTTTGGCAAGTTCTTTCATCTCTTGGTACCTTAGTTTCCTCATCTGTAAATGAGGGAGCTGTTTGGGCTGTCTCTTGTGATTCTAGACTGTGTCCTGACAGGTTTGTGAGGCTGAGCCCTTGGATAGGTTAGTTAAAACCCATGTTAACTGGGTCTCATTTGGAGGAACTTTGAGGATTTATCCAGAGACCTGGAGAGGCTTCCAGAATTAGGTAGCATGATCACTGGTCTCAAATTTTATCACTTCACCTGACTGAAAAAATAATTCTAAAGTCTGCTTTCATCTTTGCTCTGGATTCCAGGGTGATCGTATTTTAACAGGATTGGAGGCTACAGTAGTGATGAGACCATAAAAGAGCACTCCGGGTATCAGTTTTTCATTCCTCCCACCTACCTGGTAGCATTATCAACAAAGCATGAAGCCTGGTACCCAGCTCGTGGTAGAGGCTCAGTGAATATGTAGCACAACAAATGAGAAACAAAGAACCCACACTGGAGACATACACCCGAATGCACAAAAGCGTGCTGAGACACTTCATGCTGCACACCTCAAGCTTCAAGGTTCTGAGGTTTACCTCTCAAGGCCCTTTCCATTTTGACTTTAAGATAAATTAGTGCAAGAAACAAATAACAACAACAAAGATGGACAGATGATAAAACAAACTGATGGCCCAGGAAATATGTGTGTGTGGTCATTGTCCATAGACATTCTGGGATGTGGGTAATATCCCACATCCCAGAATGTCTATGGAAGGACTCAGAGGTAATAAATTTATATTTTCCAAAAGGACTCAGAGGTAATAAATTTATATTTTCCAAAAGCTTCAAAGCATTTTTATGCCCATAAAACATTTCCAGGGCTATAACTCTGGGAGTCATTCCAGGCCTACTGAGATCCCATGCATTATGTATCTGAAGTAACTGGGGAAGATATTTCAGATTCTTAATTTTAGTTAATAAACATTTCACCAGTCCAGAGCTCTTTTCCTCTTGACCTGCAGCCTAAACATGATGTACTCAAAACAACTGCATGATTCTTTTCTCTCCAAAGTCCACAAAACACATAAGGCTACAAAGCATTTTTAGCAAAAACTCAGCTAGAGTAGTTTAGTAAGCAAGTCTTAAGAAGTTCTGGCACAACAGAGGCTAAATGAACATTGACTTATTTAGGTTGGCTTGAAAAAGAGCAGAATTTTAATAATACAGGGAACACTGAAGGGAAAAATAAAATCTGTTTTAATCACCTTTCATCTAGAAAGCACTGTGATTTGAAATGCTAAAAATCATTGGAGCTGGGCTGGGGTTGCAGCTCAGTGGTAGAGTGCTCGCCTAGCCCATGTGAGACACTGGGTTCTATCCTCAGCACCACATATAAATAAACTAGAGGTATTGTGTCCACTTACAACTAAAAAAATATATTAAAAGAATCATTGGAACTTTGAGCAAAAAGTCAAGGGACACATCAAGCAGGCTCCATGTCCATATACTTCCATGCAGCCTTAGCCACTGTGGAATTTTGGCTGGAGGAGATCTTGGAAGACCTAAGACACTGACACCTAATGCACTAACAACAGAGGCCTGGGGTGCAGAGATAAATAGCATCGTCCCACGGCCATACCAGCTTGAGCTCCATACTCCCAACTCCTTTTCCAGAGGTTCCCCATGTGTCCTTCCCGAAGGTGGCATAGCAGGACCCTATATCTGAGCACTCCCCAGGATTGTGAACCCTATCTAGGGTGGTCAGGGTACCAGAGGCTTTTGTCAGATGGGGTGCGAATCCCAACTCCACCCCTTCCAAGCTACCCAACTGCTAGAGACTGGAGTGTCCCCCAGTTGATATGTCAAAGTCCTGACCCTCCTGTGTTTGGAAACAGGGTCTCCAGGGAGGTAGTTAAGATGAAACAAGGTCAGAAGGGTGGGCCCTGATAGGGCAGGACTGATGTCGTTCTAAGAGAAAGGGACACTTAAAGATGGGTGTCTAAGACTGGAAGTGAGGCTGGAATGACAGGAGAGGGCCAGGGAGGGAAGAAGGAAGGAAGGAAGGAAGAAGGAAGGAAAGGAGGGGGAAGTGGATGGGAAGGCGTAAGTCTTTGAGGTCCCATTCCTTCCTGGGCCTCTATTTCCTGGCCAGGAAAGGGAATGGTTGTGATGGAGAGGTTGGTGACATCTGGAGGCGGCTGAGGCACCCACCTCAGAGGACTCCCGGCCTATTCTGCCAGCCTTCCTAGTCCCAGAGAGTCTGCTGAGCGGCTGGACTATCAGGAATGCCAAAGGGAACAGGCATAATTGTCTTCCATAAGATCCCTTCCTGATGGCCTGTTTTCTCGGGAATTGGCCAAACGTTTGACAGAGTCTTCCCCATCAAACACCCAGCAGACATTTTTTTTTCCAATATTCAGAAGGACCTGAGGATTTTTTCCATGGTAGTTGAACATGTTTATTAAAATCTGTTCACTTACATACTGACTCTCGTGGGTTTTAAGAGACATAAGTATATTCCTTGTTTTCAAAAGCTGTCCTTTCATGGTAGGGGGAGTAATCAATAGAATGCAAAAGACCCAAAAGTCTATAGGCTACTCATCTTCTATAATAGGAGTTGATGAACTTTTTCAATAAAAGTCCAGATGGTAAAAATTCTAGCCTTTGTGGCCCTTAAGGTCTCAGTTACAACCACTCAATTCTGCCATCACAGACCAGAAGCAGCCACGAAATGTGCATGACTGTGTTGCAATAAAACTTTATTTACAAAACCAAGTGGTGGTCCCCTATCAAATTCTGCCAGTATTATTTCAAATGACTTTTCTTCAGTCCAATATCTTTGGTGCCAGCTTTAAAAAAATAAAATAAAACACTAACTACGATTATATGGTGTGTTTCTGCCAGGCCTGTTTGTGTGGCCATAGATCGCCGCTCTCACTCTGGCCAATTCTCAGGGAAACTCAGGAAAGAGTTAGTGACCCAGGGACTCCCACGGGTGTCTTTCCAGTCACCTTTGCCACTGTGCTTACCTTTCGCCATGACCTGGATCTCATCAAGGACAGGGATCACCTTAGGCTTTAGTCTCTCGAGAATTCCACCTCCCAGCAACGAATGAATATCTGGGATTGAAGAAGCAGAAGGGACAGTGAGGGCAGCTGCCCTGAAGGACAGGCTCCACCTCTACTGATGAAAAGTCCCATTTTCCATTCTAGACCCTGTTCAGGTATTGACCCTGGTGTGCAGATTTCATCACATCGTTTGAAGTTCCCATATGGACGTCCCCAGGTGAAAACTTAAGACACCACCGACTGACAATCTGTGCTAGGAACACAGAATTTAGCTGCTGCTGCTGCTCCTCCTCCTCCTCCTCCTCCTCCTCCACTTCTTTCCTTTTTAATTAAATGTTCTCAGTTTTATCTTTGAAGTTCATTGCTATTTGTACATTCTAAGGTAAGGTAAGGAAAGAGAGTTGAGCACCTTGAGCTGTATGTAACCACCTCTGTCCCATCTCTTCAGCCAGGCCGGATGCTCACATCGCGGTGGCCCTGTTGGCATTGTGGGCTGGGGAACGCGGGTGGGGCCTGTTCTGTGCACGGTCGGGTGTTGCCGCTTCCTCTACCAACAGTGCAGGACCTCCACTGCCTCCACCTGGCCTCTCTGTGCCAACCACAGATGTCTCCAGAGGGCAACCCCTGTCACTCCTTGGTTGAGAACCGCTAAGCCACACTGTGAGCCTCAGCACAGTCCCCATCTACTTCTGAGGGCCACTTTAACAGGGCACCTGGAGGGATGCACATCCTCCCCCACGTGGGGGGATGAAGAACAAGTGCCAGTGACCTCAAGATGCCGAGTGCCCTGCAACGGATGCCAAATAAGAGAGCCAAAGGCCCCACTGCCTGCCAGCCAGAGGCTTTCCACAGATGGCAAACTGTCGGCGACTCAAGGGGATTTGTATCCTACTTTCTCCTACCTCCCGCTATTTGGTTTCTTAGTCCATGTTGTGTGGGTGGCAGCTACAGCCTCTCTTGAGCCCAAACAAGTAAATAATCACCAGCACAAGCTGATTGTACTCACTGTCCAGATCTAAGAAGGCCTTCTCTTTGGTGGTGTTGAACTGGTCCACGATATAGTCAATTTGCTAGGGAAAGAAAAATTACGTGAAACCTGACCTTCTAAAGCCCAAAGCCACAATAAAAAGACATATGTCATTCAAAAATCAACCCGAATCAGAGAAGCTTTAGGAAGAGATTGTCAACAAGTTCTGGAGATATTTTCATTTTCTGACAAACTTCTTAAAAACACTCTCCAGCTTATTAGCCTAAAACTGATTGATTCACTGAGTTTACTTGTTCACTGTGAATGTATTATTTGTGCTGGTTTATTAGGTCCCATGATCCTGAGGACTGGCTGTTGGATCTTGCTGTCAGTTCTGGCATGGAAGGGGACGGGTGGGCCCCTCACTCTTTCCACATGGCCTCGTATCTTCTGAGTGACCAGCTTGGTGATCCAAGGGTCACCAGCAACGAGAGGGAAAGAGTAGACACTGAGTGGCCTCTGGAAGCTGAAGCTCAAAACTGGCCTGAGGTCATGTCCGCTGTATTCCCCGGGTCATAAGCACACCACAGGGACAGCCCAGACTCCAGGGGTTGGGAGACAGATCCACTGTGTGACCGGAGGAACTGCCAAGAACTTGTGCCCTTTGTGTTCTGCCACACTAGACCCATTTTATTTAGTGACAATTACCAACTGGTCTTCAAAGGGGCTGCTCGCCGCCTGTCTATAGTGGCTAAGGAGACCCAGTCCCCACTTCATTGGCACCACGGGGGGATTGGGGGGGGTTTACCAGTTTTCAACAGAGATTGCCAATCTGCTCAATGAAAATGTGCGTCATCGTCTCAGTTTTCATTCCTCCAATTACTAAGGAAGATCAAACATCTTATTCTATGCGGAGCCAGCTGTGTTTCTTTAATCCACTGCACATTCACATTCTCTGCCCAATTTTTTTTTTTTTTTTTTTTTTTTTTTTTTTAGATTTCATACAGCTCATCGTTACTCAAAATCAGATAAGTTTCCCTGAAAGTCCCAACAATTTACTGTCCATTTAAGATAAGATGATGAGAGCCATCCCAAACTTTAGTAGCCTGCACTGCTGCCCAACTTTGCCAGCTGTTTAGGAAAAAAGGTTTTTTCCTTGGACTCTTTACAATGTCAGGTAAAAGAATGCTGTGAATTTTACTCACAGGGTCTGACAAATAAAACATTTGCATCTGTATACAGGCTATAAAACTAAAGATAAAGTCAATTTCTCAATATTTTAAAATGCCTGCATTTGTTTCTCTTTCATTTCCAGCCACTTTTTAAGAAACTAGCACATACTTATATTTTAAGATAGAATACACTGTGAGGGGGCCCCCTGGGGGCCTGGTGGGCTCTTCCAGTGGCTCTGTGGGTGGGCTCCTCCTCCTGATGTGGGTACCCACAGCACCACAGATGCAGGAGGGCTCCTGCCCAGGCGCTTTTCCAAACAACGTTCCAAATAACAATACATCAGCATGCTCTTGGGACACAGAAAAGAGGGTCCTTGACCCCACTCAACTCCCTTTCTACAGAAACAATGCGTGAATGTGTGAGAGTGCATGTGAGAGAAAGACAGTGTGTGTGCCCTCCCCAAGGAAGGGACACACCTGCATAGATGTTAACAAGTGGGTGTTTATACAGCAAAAGCCTTTCGTCATCAGAATAACCACGGAAATTATCAGGAGTTAACCATACTGCCAAGAAGAAAGGATGAGGACATCCAAGACCTTTCTTTCTTAAAAATAATCATGAGAACTTTTAAACTTTTAAATTGTAAGCAATTCTATAATTTCGTTACATTAAAATACCATTTCTGAAATTATGCTTTTGGACTCTTTTGAAAAATACTTGCTGCACCTTGATTTCTTCATCTCCACGTGAAAAGAAACAGCAGCCCCGTGCCCCATCACTATGTCACTATGAACCCCAGTCCTGTGTAGAATTCTAATGCAATAATAGAAACCCATTTTTAAAAAGGCAACTCCCATCTACACAGACCCTCCAGGGTCCTGGAAGGTGCAGTGAGGTCCCAATTACACCCAGGAACTCCGAGAAGCCCAGAATACAAAGCGCGCGCGACGTGTAGCTTGTGGCTGTACCTGTGGCGCTTCATTCACGAGGGTTCGCAGGTCTTTCAAGTTGCTGTCTATCAGCTTCTGAGACTTTCTGATGCGGTGTCTCACGTGGTGGTTGGCCGCGAAGCCGTAGATGATTCCAATGCTGCAGGAAAAGGGAAAAAGCGAGAGTCGTGACTCCCTGGTCCCCTGCAGCAGGGCCCGTTTCCTCCCCTGCCCTCACCTGCTCCAGCCTTCCCACTGAGACCCCATGGCGGATCCACCACCAAAGGAGGCCACACATGACTCAGAACCCCCCCCAAAAAGAGAGACCAATCTCCATTTAATATAAAGTACTCCATTCAAGATGACTCCCAGAAATGGAGAGTGTCCCTCCAAGTTGTGAAGAAAGCAGGAAATCTACAAGGCAGTGTGCACGGTCGGTCCCAGTCCTTCCCTGCCCACAGATTCGCTGCCGCCTCAGGCCCCCAAGAAGCCTCTAGGGAAGGATCAAGATGACAAGCGTGGGGCTGGGGATGTGGCTCAAGCGGTAGCGCGCTCGCCTAGCATGCGTGCGGCCCGGGTTCGATCCTCAGCAGCACCACATACCAACAAAGATGTTGTGTCCGCCAAGAACTAAGAAAAAATAAATAAATGTTAAAAAAAATTCTCTCTCTCTCTCTCTCTCTGTCCCCCTCTCTCTCACTCTCTCTTTAAAAAAAAAAAAAAAAAAAAAAAAAAAAAAAAAAAAAAAAAAAAAAAAAAAGATGACAAGCGTGACTTGGCCTTCTAGCGTGTAAAGTTTCTCTCATTTTTCTTTTAGTCTCTGTCTTGTCCAAGTTGAGGGGAAATGCTACTTTAGCATTGAAATGCTCCATCAGAAGTCGACACAGAGGCCCTCCTGTGCTATCTCATTTCCATCAAGGAGAAAAACAAGCAGCTCCATGATGCCAGGAGGTCAGCGGCTTCACGCTGGCCAGCAGCTCAGGGCAGCCTTCTGTCCGTGGTATTGCCATCTCGGGAATTCACGGGGAAGGAAGATGACAATTTTCTCCACATAAAATACACTTCATAAAAAGCTTCAAAAATGCTATCTGGGACTGATCTATCAGGTGCCTTATGAATATGTAACAATGGATCCCTCTATTTTGTATAATTACAAGGCACCAATAAAAATTTGGGAAAATACTATATGAAAAGGCATCTGGCACGAAAGACTGCGCAAAATGCACTTTTTGAAGCCATCTAAAATGCCCTTACTTAATCATTGTAAACATCCTTCATGTTGACGAGTTACTAACAATCTTTTGATTTAAACTAATTTGACAAATGGCTTCTGCCTGCAGCATTAGAGTGTTAAATTTGAAAGTACGAATAGCTGAGGCCCTGTTGAACTTGTCCACTGGATGGCAGCGTGGAACCACATTAGCTAGGCACAGCACAGGTGTCACCGGGCCTCAATAAAATGGTTACTTCTTGAGCTTTAGGAGTCTGGTTAAGGAAGTCAGGTCCTAAGCTGACCTGGTGAAGATTTGGGCCTATTTTTCTCCTATTAGTTTCAGAGTCTCTGTTCTAGTGCCTAAGTCTTTGATCCACTTTGAGTTGATTTTTGTGCAGGGTGAAAGAGGTTTAATTTCATTTTGGTACATATGGATTTCCAGTTGACTTCCTTACCAAGATTCCTAAAGCACGAGAAGTAAAATCAAGAATCAGTAAATGGGATGGATTTGAATTAAGTAGCTTCTTCTCAGCAAAGGAAACAATTAATAACATGAGGAAAGAGCCTACAGATTGGGAGAAAATCTTTACCTCATGCACCTCCAATAAAACATTGATCTCTAGGATATATAAAGAACTCAAAAAACTTAACACACACAAAAAAAATAACCCAATCAATAAATGGGCTAAGGAGCTGGACACTTCACAGAAATAGAAGAAATATATGAAAAATATATGAAAACGTGTTCAACATCTCTAGCAATTAGAGAAATGCAAATCAAAAATACTCTAAGATTTCATCTCACTCTGTCAGAATGGCAATCATCAAGAATACAGACAACAATAAATGTTGACAAGGATGTGGGGAAAAAGGTACACTCATACATTGCTAGTGGGACTGCAAATAGGTGCAACCACTTTGGAAAGCAGTATGGAGATTCCTCAGAAAATTGGGAATGGAACCACCATTTGACCCAGCTATGCCACTCCTCGGTTTATATCCAAAGGACCTAAAATCAGCATACTATAGTGTCACAGCCACATCAATGTTTATAGCAGCTCAATTCACATTAGCTAAACTATGGAACCAAACTAGGTGTCCCTCAATAGATGAATGGATAAAGAAAATGTGGTATATATTCTCCGTGGAATATTACTCAGCTTTACTGAAGAGTGAAATTATGGCATTTGCCAGTAAATGGTGGGAGTTGGAGAATATCATGCTAAGTGAAATAAGCCAATCCCACAAAACCAAAGGCCAAGTGCCTTCTTTAGTATGCAGATGCTAATTCACAATAAGGTGGGGTACGCTAGAGAAGAATAGTGTTACCTTAGATTAGGTAGAGGGAAGTGATGGGAGGGGAGGGGAGGGGATGTGGGGATAGGAAAGATAGTAGAACAAAACAGGCATTATTATTGTATGCATATATGTGACTGCATGACCAATATGATTCTGCAACACATACACTCAGAAAAATGAGAAATTATATCCCATCTATGTATGATATACCAAAGTGCATAAATGCATTCTACTATCATGTGCAAGTAATTAAAACAGATAAAAAATTTTAAAAATGGTTACAACGGAAGGTGTGGATATATCTTTAAACATGTTCTGCATGTATTAGGAAAACTTTGGGCAGAGGGGAATGCAGAAAATCAATGCACTGCCTCTTTAAAATATGCAATTTTGTGGACTTTACATATATTTATAGGCAAGGTCACCAAGGGTCCTAGTTTTTGCACTGAAAAAAGTCCATGTCCCCAGATAACTTCTGAGTCCTGGGTAAATGAGGACTTAGAGCATCAGTGGCTCCCTGCTGGTCTCCCTCAGAACCCACTCCCCATGGCAGTATTGCACCTGCTCCAATCTCTAAGTGACGAACCCTGAGTGAGGTTTCTTTGAGGTAACAAGCTGCAGCAGAAGGAGTGCAGGAGCAGAACAAGATGTGTGTCCTGGTCCCTCTACTGCCACCAAGTATGAGAAAGCCACTTTTCTTCTATGTGTCTCAGTGAGTACTTCACAGCTGAAAGGATGCGTTCAGACCCTGTCTAGCTCAAACTGGAAACCACTCAAGTGGCAAGGGAGACGGCTTCTGGCTGCCTCCACCTTCTCCAAGATCGCTTTTAAGTTGGGGATCTTTCTGATGGTGACCTTAAAAGATGAATGTCAACAAAACTCTGTGCCGTTTGGAATGACTGCCGAACAATCCACTATTGTCCACCCTACATCTGCACTGGTACTGACGAGGCAGAAGCTAGACTGTGGCAATCACAGTCACAAGATGATGCCCTCGTGCCAAATAAGGCCAAATGACCCAAAATGGGATTTCAGAGTTGTGTGCAGAGGAAAAACACAAAACCAAATGCTGAGTTATAGCAATGAGACTGGAAAGCTTCGTTTACCATGCCAAGTTCAAACGGTTTATGCCAGATGAGTCGGAATCATCCCCGAATATACCTGATATTCACAGTGGGGACCCTTGCTTTCTCCAGCATGTTCAGATTACCCTGGCTATCCCAGACCCGTTTGGTCATGCAGGGAGTCAAAGCGAACTTGCAAGTCCACTTCCACTTGACCCTTGCTGACCTTGCCACCCCTCCTCAACAAGAAGAGAACCTCCTTGCCTTAAACTCTAAGGGGGGGTTCTCCCTTCGATTCTGGGGCGGGTATTTCTCACTGCTTCCTCTGTCTTCATTTCTACCTCTTTAATTTCCCTAAAAGGAGCTGGAAACTGCTTCTCTCTCAGTTGTGCACAGTGCAGTCTTGCTAAAGGCGTGTTTAAGGACTGGATTTTGGTTTCAATGAGAAGATTAACCACGTTTGGAGAGTCCAATGCACAAACATCATTCCTTTACTGAATACATGTCTTTGCTCACAAAAGCATCAGTAAGAAAAATGAGCTGCTATATATTTCAATACAACTCTACATTTCAATGCTACATATTAATGAAGACCCTCATTTTTGGTAACCAGTAATGGATCCAACTGAAATAAACACATTGATAATCTTTTTCTTAAAAAAAAAAAAAACAGTAATCAACAGAAGTCTGCAACAGAATTCAGCAACTTGCAAAGCTGATTCTCAGGTCCCCACATGGTGTAAAGATTATATTTTTAAGGATGACAAGTCCAGTAGCCTGCAAGGGGAAGACTGAAGCAAGAGGAACACGTGGGTCCAGGGGCTATGGAGCCAGGAGAACAAAGGTGGGGTGGGATAGTTGCACTATAGTTCTCACATGTGCCACCATAGTGGAGGGTGTCACCAAGAGCCATCATGATGGCAGATCAGTGTGACCAGACCTTTCCATTGTCCACAAACATCTGCAAAGGTAGATTCTTAGGTAAATCTCCGTTTTTTAAGTATTAACAACTAATCTTAAAAAACATTAAGTACTGTGCAGACCCACTGAGGATCTTCATTTGCAGTTTCTAACTTAAACCTTTATATGCAAACAAAATAGAAAATAAAGAAGTGATGTTCTTTTGGGGGGTGGTTTAGATACTCACTACTGTTAATACATTTTTTTTAAAAAAGTCACACATGTAATATCTTTGTATTTTTAGCAACCACTGGTCAGTTATTAGGAGATGAGGATAATGAGAGCAATATACCTAGCACCAAAAGAGAATAAAACGTCAGTGAATATCTGTTCTCTGGCACTTGACATAAACGTCTTTAAGTCATCAAAAGCATGTGCATCTGTGAAGTACAACAAAATATCTCAAAAATTTTAGCAGAAGGTAGGAATTTTTATTTTCTTGGCATATTAGCATTATATTTTCTATATTGTGTTATGAAAAAACAATTTACTTACATATACACTTAGCTTAAAATACTTACAAATACTTAAAGCATTAAAATTTGTAGCAATTTTTTCCTTAACCATTTCTACTGACTTAATGGAATCAGCCAATGAAAGTCAAGTACATGTGTTTAGTCTGTGACTGACCTCTTATTTTTTTAACATAATTGTTAAATAATCAGACCTCGACTTCTCATTATGAAAGTCTTATGATTTTCAGGAATGCTATAGTTTAGTTTGTTGTTGTTTTTCTGGAATCTTGTGACCTCCACGGCAGGAATTGACAGCCAGCTTCCTGAGGATGACTGGGATTCAATTTACCAGGGTCATCGCTGGCAAAGCTCAACTATCAGACTCAGCAATTTGGAAATACATGGAAGAAAATGGCTGGCTGTTCCTTCTTTTTTCTTTTATAGTCTTCTTGAAATTTTGAAAAAAAATGCAATGATGAAAAGTTCAAAAGAAAGGAGGAGCAGACACTGGGCTCTCCCAGGAGTTGGACACATTTGCTGACCCGTCCACATGACTGGTGGAAGTTCACCCTCCAGCTAACGGTCGGGCAGACCACAGAAGATCCACAGACTCTCATGCTCCAACTGCTTGGGGAAGGCTCGAGCAAACAGTGGGCCAGGATGTGCTCCACACTTACTGGGGAACCTTTGTTCCCCAACAAAGGTTTTCTTAAACCCATGGCTTTCTCAAAAAAAAATAATAATAATAAATAAAATAAAAATTTTTGAAATAAAAAGGGATGAATGAAAAAAAATTAAGAGTAGTCAAAGCTACTTACAATTTGAAAACTACTTACAATTAATTGTCAGATTTCGAATCACTCAATGGAATTGAGCCCAATGAAAGGCAACTGGACTGCTCTGGGTTTGTGAGAGGATTTTAAAACATTGTACCAAAGATTAGCAGGCAGTTTGTGCTGTGTAAGCCAGAGACCCAACAGTAAGAAAAAAATCCACTAACACGTTTCATTCTCTGCTTTCTAATTTAGTTGACGTCTGTCCCCTCTTATTTTTGGTGATGTGCCTTCTTCTCCCTTTCATCTAATCAAAACAAAGAGATCTTCACTTTCCCCCAGTCTTTAATCTTCTTGGTTAGCTTTGATTACTTGCAAACATTATTTAGCTATCATGTGACTCACGATGTTTAAGACACTTGCTAGCGAGTAGAGGTTTCTCAAGGAAGACATCAAAATAGCAACAGTAAATTGAAAAGTTCAAGGCAAAGTTTAAACTTCTTGTCTCAATGTAAAGTAAATACAAAGGAAAAATACACTATTCTCACTGAGACCTACATATAGTTTATACATATATATATGTGTGTGTGTGTATATATATATATTATATATATAAATTCAATGTACTAAATGTACTATATGAAGTCAAATTAGTTTTAAATTTGTTACCACCTCAAACAGTTGATCAACTTTGGTTTAATTATGTTAAAATCTAAAATTATAATTTTTCGAATTTAGTTTTCACCTGGGTGGAGAAAATTTTTTAACTGTATGTATAGAAGGCAATAGAAGCATGGAATGTGTTTTTAAAAAAGATTCTCCCAACTTAAAAGAAAACAGTTATCTAAATTTGTTTGATTAGTCTAAATCTTAAGAATAAAAAAAATAGTTGTAACATTCATTTTATGTAAAATGGAAGCCAACTTTATATTTAGCTTTGTAGCTTGATTGTTTATATATTTTGGTATTTTAAATATAATGTAAATAATCAGTTCAGCATGAACTAGCAATTATATGAAATGCAAATAGAAGTCCAATTTAAAAAGAATTAAGTACATACCACATGCTTCATTAAAAAAATGAAAGCCCATTATTACTTACATTATGTATTTACATATGTAAACATTTATTCAGGTAAATATAAAATAAAGTATAATACATACAATAAAAAATTTTCCTGAAATTATGACATGAAAACTATCAACCTGTTAAATAAGTAATGACTCTAACAAGAAACTCTAAAGGCAGCCTTTTCAAAGGACACTGAGACCTGAGCCTCATCTTAATGTCTAGGGTGAGTAAGTGGACAAGGAAAAACATGGCTGCCCAGTCTTTGGACAAACGACCAGGTAGGACTTCCCCTTCTGGAAAATGCACAGGGCCCCTGATGAATTTAACAGTCTTTGGGCTGTAAGTGACATTCTTCTAGCACTAACTTCTGCAGGGGGATGATTCTGTGCATTCCTAAGAATACTTCAAAGGCCAAGCAGAGAGAGAAAGAGACATCTGGAAATGCCATCAACCAGATTCTAATCTGCCTTCCAGAATCCAGTGTGAAGAAACCAATTTGAATTACTTTAAGAGGGAGACAGAAAAAGACACAGACAGACAGAGAGGCCAAGACAAAAAAGACAGAAAAGGGAGATAAAGACAAGAGACAGGCACAGAAGATAAATGCCCAAAGACCTGTCAGAGCGCAAGCTCCTAGAGACACACAAAGACTCCCTGTTAGCTAACAGCACGTGAAGTAGCTAACACATTCACTTGGATCCTTTTAAACACATGTATGGTAAAAGTCTATCATTCCACCTTTTTCAGCAAAATTATGTCTTTGCTAGTTAAATAATAATTGCCCTGGAACAAGTGGTAACACACTGGTTTTTGCTGGAATTTTCCGTTGCTCAAGTTTAATTGGCTCAATAGGTAGTACCTGAGCCTGGTACAACAATTCAGAAAAGTCAGGCAGCCCAGCTGCAGCAAAAACGGTTCCTTCCTTCCACCCAATTGCCCCCCAGTTTCCTTTCCAAAAGTAACCACTGGGGCTGGTCCCTCACCAGCCTTCCCTATACATTCTGTGCAAACATAACCAAGCATTTGTGTCTCCCTCCTTTCTGTTCATATCATAGTTGCCACATGACCATGCACACAGGGTTGCAGTTTTCCTTGCTTCTCTCTTGGAGCCACCCAGTTCTTTGAATGGGTATCCTCGATTCCAAGATAGATGAACGGTCACCCCCAGAACACACATCTAACCAGACCCTTACTGATGGCCACACTTAATGATTTTTGCTCTTGGGTTTGCAGCTAGAACTTCAACTAGTAGGAATTACTGCTTTGGGCTTAAACACACAATCATCACCTACTTAATGAAACTTGAAATATCTTACCTATGGATGCTGTGCAAATGTGGTGTGTGGAGAAAGACAAGAATGCCGATTGTCATGTCCTGGGACCTTCACCTCGGTTGCCATGTGAAACACTGGTTGAATAAATGAGGAAAGGCGGCACTATAACTAAAAGTCACAAGGGGACCAGTGCCATGTGCACATTCCTCAGCGGAGGAATCGACGTGGACTCAACAAAACATCCTCATCTTAGGAGCAGTGTAATTCTGATCTGCCTGTCAATTGGAAAACTTTTGGCAGCAGCAAAAACTGCAGCAGAAACATCCTAAATAATGAAATGTGTTGCAGACTTCAAAAGAGGGCAACGGATGAACAGCAAATTCAAGAAAAGTGGGTTTAGAAATTAGTAGAAAGTTAAGTGTACTCTACGATGTTCTCGAATTTCCAAATGTGGGGACTGCCCTTGTCCATCGAGATTCCTTTTGGAATTAACTAGAAAATCAACTAGCAAATGGGGCCTTTGCCTTTCAGCAGGCTGGCTGACCCCTGCACAGCTGTCTCAGAGGAGGAAGCTTCCAGGGAGTGGATGGTCTCTGCATTCTCCGGCATAGCCACAAACGGGAAAAATGCCACGGGGCAGGCTCCTCAGTCAGGTTAGGGCAGCTTCCTCCCTGAGCTTAATGATCCAGGAACGGTGACACCTTTTTGAATGTCTTGGATGAGCACCTCTATTCTCCCTTTCCTGTTTTGTTATTGCTGTCATGGTTCTGTTTTAAACTCGTGGGCTAAACAGTTAAAACAGGGGACACGGCTCATCACCCTAAAACCAATCAGCTGTCGTCCACGATGCCACTTGCCTTACGAGCACGCAAATCACCAGGAGGGAGATTGCAAGGCACCTCCTCTGGAAGGGCGCGTTCTCCTTCGGACGCTGGTGCATTTTCCCACCACATTTGTTACAGCAACGACATATCGCAAAGATACAACCCACCACAGGCAGCAGAATAATGAATAACACGCCCACGATAACGCACAGGATAACGCCGATCTCATAGTGGGCGATCTGCAATTCAAACAAAAGAAACAACACAAACTGTCACACAAAATAGAAAGTGGAACATCCCCGAGTGGACACAATTCATTTTTTTTTTTTTACCTATTCACTATCACGAGTTGAACCTTAAAGTGCATAGTTTTCCATTTGAAACTCCCTTCTGAAACAGAATTAAGTTATTAGATTATGGGAACAAGCGATTACTATCTTCCTTTCCATTCCCAGGAAGGTGTCCAAACCAGGGTCAAAGAGTGAATGGTTTATTTTTTTTTTCACTTTTAAAAAATTTGTTCTTTTTAATTATACATGGCAGTGGAATGTATTTTCAGATATTATACATACATGGAGTATAACTTCCCATTTTTGTGTTTATGCATGATGTGGGCAAATGGTCTAATTTTAATCCCAAACGTATTTTGTTTGCTTGTAAATAGTTTGATAAGTCTTGGCCAGAATACCTGCATAGTGAATCCTCTATATAGATAGGACACACAAAGTTATTAAAGATTTGAGGCAGTCTGGATTGAATCAGTTAGCGACAAATTCATGGTTTCAAAAGAATCTGGAATAGATCTAGATTTAGAACAAAGACCCAGGCTTTCTGAGTCTGATGGTAAAATACAGTCCACTTAGTTTTCCATCCATACATTGTGGTGTATGACTAGAGGAAAAGTGCCTGACTGAGTAGCAGGAGCAGGGTGGACACTTAATGACACTTCCCATGCCACACACATGAGGCATAGCCCACGGAAGTACTGGGCTTGGCAATCCATGTCTAAGTTCCCAGGAACAACTTCCAGATGCAATCATAGGAATAACTATATTTTCATTATCACCATTGGCTTTATTCCAAGGAAAATGAAAATCAGTGAAACTTGACCTGCTCCAATTCATGCACATACTTACATTTCTTGAGAATGGCAGAAAATTGCAGTTGGCAGTGGGCAACCTACAGACAAGCTAGACAGCAATAGATGCTGAGGCCAAGCAGAGCTAAAGGAAACACAGATCCTGTTCTTACAGCTGAGCGCTGAGAGCCGCTCTCCTGCCTGAGTTCCTATTCCACCTCGCCTGACCCTAGTTTTCCATAATAATCAAGCAAAGTCTATTTTCTTTTGTTGCCATGAATTTGGCGATAGGCAAGAAGGCCTGGGGGCAGCAACCCCCTCTTGCCTGTCCATTCTGTAACAGGTCAGAAGCGGAACATCAGCAAACTAACCAAGAATGGCCTGAGGATCCAACCATCCTTGCTCTGGAGATCTGCAGAACTAAACAACATCCTGTGACGAGGTATTTGGGATCACATGTGCATGACCTGGCCCACTCCCTGTGAAAAGACACCTGCCAGTCTGGAAGCACCTATCAACTGCCTGTATAAGATACTCCCAAGTCAGCTTCCTGGCAAGATAGGCTTGTGACAAGAGTCCCTCATCTCTTCCAGCTGTTTTTCAAATGAAGTTACCTTCCTCAGCTCAACACCTTGACTCTTGACTAAATTGACCTGGGATGCAGCAAATGGCCAGACCTGGGTTGGGTCACATTCCTGGGAGCAAATACTTCCTCAGTCCTCGACCCCATCAGCATACTGTGTGGGGAGGAGAATCACATGGCCTAACATAATGACATGCACTAATTACATGAATTCATATCAAGAAACAGTAAGTCACTCTCTGGGTGAATGCTTGAGTATTAAAGCAGGTGCATGTGACACTTGAATACCATCTACTTCAATATTCATATTAAAACGCTAAAAAGAAAAACAAAGTGGCTGAATTTTGATGCATTCATGAGTTACATTTGTATGCTTCACCTTGACCCCCTTCCCACGGCCGTGAACAGCCATGTGCACCAGACTCTTCAACACTTCCTCAAAGACTAGTATCTTTGGCCAACTAAGAAACCATCCCAGACACTCCAAACTCCTACATACTTACCTATTTTGCTATTCCAAATATTCTATTTATTACTCTGAAAGGAATTTTAAACCCTTTCTGAATCACAGGAGACACTAAACCCAAGCCCAGGAAGAAGGTATTTTTAAATGTTGACAATGCACTAATTTAGCTTCAAGTACAAATTCTGTACTTTCTGTAGAACCTTCCCAATGTCCCAATGTTGCTGGCTAAAACAGGCAGTATCGAGACTCAGAATGCATCATTTTGAAAGTTGACTCCTAAGCTAAAGGCTAGCCAAGATCTGGGAGTATGCAAATTATTTTTTGATACACCAAGATCTTAAAGCACTAGATTATGCTCAAGATAAGATTAAAGATGAAAGCAAAAACAACAATGAAATGAATAACTAAAAACCATCAAAGGGAAGGCAGCAAATAAGAACAGAAAGCTCTAAGCAAAGCAGCGCTACTTACTGCCTACAGGCAAAGAGCAACACGCGAGCGACAGCAGACATGAGCTTTACCTTCAGGATCAAGACTATGTTTTCTGGCTGTGAAGTCAAAGCAGTGGAGGAGTTTGTGTGTAGCAGAGGCAGCGGCATCAAGAAAACAGACAGGAAAAGTCACGTGAGTGGTTGACCACAACCAAGAACATTAGCATCCCGCACAGAGAAAATCAACCAACAGAAGAACAACGTAAGAAAGAAGTGTAATACCCGAGTGTGCATTTGAGGAACTGTTCTGAGTACAGCCAAGTTCTGAAACTTACATTTCGATTACTGAAAGCTTCTTGCTTTTGTTTTGTCTTTGTACTAAGAACCCAGGGGCACTTAACCACCAAGCCACATCCCCAGCCCTTTTTATTTTTTATTTTGAGATAGGGGCTCACTAAGATGCTTAGGGCCTTGCTAATTGCTGAAGCTGGCTTTGAACTTAGGATCTTCCTGCCTCGGGCTCACAAGCAGCTAGGATTTCAGGCGTGTGCCACACCTGGAGAAAGGTTTTTAATCAGTATGGGTCACTTGTGAAAAAGTGAATTGGAAAGTCACAAATGATTAGCATGCTAATCATTTGATCTTCATAAAAGAGAAAACCAGAGGCTGACTAGAGTCCCTTCCTCTCTAAAATGAAATCTGCTGGTGTCCTCCTGGCTTCACAGTGGTCAATGGAGTTCCGCCATTTTTATTCCAAACTTTTCAATCGGTTCTGTATCATCTAATCTTGGCTTCAGGTGCCTGTTCTTCTCAACCATCCTTGATCATCTTAAGGTATTTGTTGTCACCCTATAAAACATCCCCAGAACGTGTCCTGTGTGCTGCCCTTCTTCATTCCGGACTCTCCTGTGCTGCATCTTCACCCAGAACGTTATTCTCATTTGCTCTTCTCCTGATGAACAACACTTAGGCAACACTAAGTCTAGGTGTTGCCTCCTCAAGACATTGGGGTGTCCAACATCCTCTACTTACCACCATGGAGCCCTACACTTGGCCTGTGGCAGCAGAGATGCTCCGTAGAGGATACAGCTGTCTCCACACCCTGTTCATGTCTGGGAGAGCAAGACCTGTGACAGTCATGCTCACCGTGTGCTCCCAGGTGCCCAGCCCAGGACCTGGCACTAACAGCCACCCAGTCAAACTCTGATGAACTGATGAACTGAGGAACAGGAGACCCAACCGTATACTGTTCACCAACAATTCCTGAACAGTGGTGCAGAGATGGGGGCTGGCAGTGTTGGGGATAGACCAACCCATAGTGAAGATGCGATGAGTTTTCCATAAAGCTAGATTTGCTCAATTTATAAAACTATCCTTTTCTGGTGATATGTGTAGGAAGGAAAACGAAAGTCATTATGGATTTTATGCTTAATTTTTTGTATGTATATGTGGCCCTGAGGATTAAACCCAGGAGCACTCTACCCATAAGCCACATCCCTAATCTTTTTTAATTCTATTTTTGAGACAGGGCCTTGCTAGGTTGCCCAGGCTGGCCTCAAACTTGCAATCCTTCCTCCTCAGCATCCCGAGTTGGTCCCATAGGCTTATTAACCTTCAGGGCTCAGTATCCCAGATGTGGCAACCACAAGCACTTCACAGTGAATGTTAAAAACACTGACTTCCGGGCTCTACCCTAGAGTGTGTGAGTCAGGAGATGTGGAAAGACCAGCAATTGTCTTTAATAAGAGCCCTGGTGATTGTAGTGTTATTCTGAACTCACAGTTAGGTCAGTGTGGGAACCCTGCCCTAGTCTGGCTACAATGGCTGGCCACTCTGGGCTGTGGCCGGGGCAGAGCCACCCATAAGTTACAATAATCAGCTGATTCTTTCGTGTTCATTTCTTCCACCCAAGAGTCACCCTGCCCTGATACGCATGATAGGGTGGCAGCCCACACCTCTGGGTGCTCTTTCCACGCTGGCTGTCATGCAGATCTTATCTTCTGTGTAATGTGGCAGTGTGAGTCCTGGCTCTGCCACTTAGTGTCTATGATTCTCTACTCCAGTTGCCCATTATGGTCACTTAGGGAGCATTTAAAACATACAGGTAGCCAGCCAACCCTGAACAACTACATCAGAACAGGGTCTAGACATTGCTATCCACACTCCACTGAGGTTCAGTTTCCTGGCTGACAGAATGGGAATAAGCCGAGACCATACCTTATGCTGCTATTGCAAGAACTACATGAGAAAATGGCAGGAATGTGATTTGTGCCTTCTTCTATTCCAGGTGTCTTGATGAATGTTAAGTGAACCGATACTCTCAAATTCTTGAGACCAATGCCTGCCAGGGTGATGCTCAAGCGCCACCTGAGCTCCAGGAGCCTTGGACCATGATTCCTGGTGGTGCACTACCCTGCCCTGTGCTCTCCATGTGCCATGGAAAGGGAACTGAACTTTCTTATTGGCAGAGTGTCCTCTCCCCCTGGGAGGGCCGGAAACGGGAGCTAAGTCACTTACGCCTCAGATAAGTAGGTGGCATCCAAACTCACAACCCAGCTTGTGTGAGCACCTAACATTTACTAAATGCCGCATTGGTGTCCAGTGATTTTTTAGGATGTTAGTGCTAGTGAGTTTGTCACAGCAACAGGGACGCGTCCCAAGCCCTGTACCTTTCCCCAGAGGAAACATAAAGAAAGGGCAAGGAAATAAGTGAGAAATGAAATAAACGAGGAAAGGATGAAGCAGCTGAATCTAGTAGGGAGCTGATCAAGAAATAAGAGTAGAGGTAAAACACCACCGCATGGAAACGAATCCAGTAACCATGACAAGGACATTCCTGAGTCCCGCTGACAGAGATGCACGGAACAACCAAGGTGACAAGCAGCAGGTGGGGAGGGTCTGCTAGGAGAACGGACTCAGGGAAAGGTTTCTCTTTGAAAACTGTGGATGATACTTACCGGTTATCAGTGGGAGGTGGTTTTAAGGAATCTACCTAGATGCCCCAAGCCAGGCATTCTACCACGGTAAGAACCCTGTCCTTCCTCTTAATTGACAGGTGCTAGGCTTGCCTTCTCGAGTTGCCTTCTAGGCAGAACCCCAAGGGAGCATGTCACTGAGTGACACCATGCTGTACTCCTCTTGTACCGTGAACCAGGATGTGGAGGGTCTGGGAAGTGGGCTCACCTCCAAGCTCTGACCCCCAGGAGAACGTGTTCCGGAGCTCTGCGGAAAGGGCTGAGCGTGGTGTGGCTCACTTGTGTATCATGAGCCCAGGCCCTGGCAATAAATGGGGTGGGCCCTTCAGCTGCCCGTGTGCTCTCTGGCTCAGCACCTCAGATGGATAGACGAGTCTTGTGAAAACCAGAAGAATCAGCAGATATCGGGCACATGGAAGTACGTCTGGAACCTGGCACGTGCTGAGGAGATGCCGGGATTCTGTCTGAGGGCACTCGGACCATCGGAGTTGTTTTGAGGTCATCTGTTCACTGCTCCTTTCTCATCACAGCTCCATGATCCCCCTTTAAGGCTTACTCAAAGGCCAGGAGAGCTTAGTCACCCCCACCCAGACTTGCCTCCACCTGTCTCATCCTGGCTGTAGAATCTCCCGCAGGTTCTCTGAGAGCACATGCAGTACTCCTTCCTCAGCAAACTGGGGATTCAGTCACACTGGAGTAACAGGTAACTTGGGACGTGACCATTTCTGCCCAGGGACAATCACCCACTCTAAAAATGTGTGGCTGAAAATGTGCAAGGACAGCTGAGTCCGTGACACTCTCTGCACACAGCCAAAGAGCTCGGATAAGACCCGTTTCTTTCAAAGCAGTCCTGTGGCTTGGAACAAGGCTCACCATTCATTGATGCTATTTGTCCTTTCAGAGTCAGAAATGGTCTGGGTACAAATCCCAGCTTCCTCACTTAGCCACTGGGTGACCTTAGGCAAGTTCCCTTGGCCTCTCTGAGTGCAGGACTTCTCCTGCCTTTACAATGGCACAGCTGCTTGCTCCTTGGAAGGCTGTCCTTGTGAGAGTTAGAAACAAGGCGATGCTCATGACCCAGAGCCTGGCACAGACAGCCGGAGATGGCGGCTCCTACTTTCACAGGGAAGATGGTGAGCTAGTGTAAGAACAGGCTTTCAGAAGCTGTTGAGTGGCCTGGTGCTCCAGCCAAGTGTTTTTGGTGGATGTAAGACTTTACTTGTCGCTCTCCTGGCCTTTCAGTCAGTCTTAAAGGCCAGCTGCACACGGAGTCCTCCCTGGTTTCCCCAGAGCAGGGTCCCTCTCTGAACACCCTGGCCCTGGTCACGGAGTACACATCCCCCTCCATCTCGCCGGCCAGTTACCCAGGGTCTCAGTCTGCACAGCTGCCATGACAGAGCACCACAGACACGGTGGCCTCCACAGTGGACACTCATGTCCCCGCAGTTCTAGAAGCTGGAGAATGCCACGTCAAGGGGCCGGCAGGGCTGGTTTCTGTGCTGCCTCTCTCCTGGATGGCTTGAGGGCGCTCACCTTCTGGCTGGAGCATCACGTGGTTTTCTCTGCCTAACTGTGTCCTCGCTTTCCCTTCTTATAAGGACACCAGTCATAATGGATGAGGGCCACCCTATACCTCATTTCAGTAATTACCTCTTTGAAAATCCTTTGTCCAAATATAGTCACGTTCTGAGCTCCTGAGTAAGACGATGAGGAAGTGAGAATTCTGGACGCAAGTCGTCCCATATCATCCAAGCACTTGTCTGTTTCTTTTCTTGGCCTCTCTTTCGCCAACTCTGAATTCTTGGAGGAAGAGCCATACTCTGGCATGTTTGTACCCCTACCATGCATTGATCCTAACTGGAACTCATAAATATAAATTAAGCAACTACACTGTAATAACTAAAGGAGAGAAAAAGCCTGGGTAAAAAAAAAAGTCACAAAAGAGAAGGGGTCCAAGGGTCACTCACTCCTTGGAACAAAAGGTGTACACTTGTGACAGCTTTTGAATCTCCTTAGGAAGAAAGTCCACTGAAGAACCCCAAACAGAGATCACTGACTCAGCTGCCCAGGTCCTCGGCCATCAAGGGACCCAAAGATGCAGCACAGAGCCAGGAGAAAGAGACCAGGAAGGCTCGACCCCAGGACCACTCACCTGGACAGTCCTTACCTGTGTGCCTGTGCTATGTGGACACAGTGAAGTCGTCCTCGGTGCCTGCCCATGCCCTCGGGCATCTACCATCCTGGTGTGCCTCCTCAGACTTCTAACTACTGGCATCGTTAATTCTGCTCGAGGGCTTTCTCCAGAACCACAGAAGGTCAGAAGTACTTAGAAGTGAACACTGTCCTCCACACTTAAGCAGCCCTTAGGCAGCGCCGCTTGGTCTTGGTATCTAGAAACTGCAGCTCCCCGGCCCTTCCTTCCCCAGGTAACCTGGAGGCTGATGTTTTGCAGGTTCCCAGGGCTCTTCTGCAGTAGGCAGTTGTTACCCCCTGGGCAGGTGGCTCATTAGAACCCTTCCCCACATCCCAGTTGGTGTTCCCTGCCCCTCCCTGTTCTTCAGTCCTTGACTCAGGGGGCACTGGGGACAACTTATCAAATGCAGCAGTTACCTGACTAAACCCAACCCTCCCAAGATGCCCTGACTTCTTTGGTGTCTTTGCTTAATGAAATCCCTTCTCCCTGGATAACCGTAGAAAGTGTGATCCAATTCCACCTTAAGGGAACGATTCAGTTCATTCAAGTGGGCTCAGGTCTGTATCCTCTCTCTACCCCCCTCCCCCATCGGTTTTTATCCAGTATCCCCGAGGGCAGAGCAGCTCCCAATTTAATACTAGGCTGAGCATGAAGGAGCTGTCCAGTTAAGACTCCTGGAATGGTCAGTGCAGTGGCACTGAAGGGTAAAATGCTTTTGCAGTGAGCTGCATCCAGGAAGGAGTAAGGCTCCTCCGCCACCTCAGGCTTTCCTGCCATCAGATATAAATGACATTTAGAGAAGGTTTTCTCTTTGACTTCTGTATTCACTTTTCTCTTGAGTAGCATTTTATTGCAAATTGAGAATATGATGAGGTCATTTATAACTCTAGCACCTGAGGTCACTGTCCACTGGGCAAGTGTTAACTGCCCCCACTCAAACACTAGCACTGAGATTTGTGGCACTAGTCAGTAAAGAATGTCCACCAGGACCTCTGCTTACCGGAACTCAAGGACCTCAGCTACTCTAGCAGAGAACAGGGCCATGTGCCTTGCTTACCTTGCTAAGGACCGAGAAAGTGACCAACAGACTCAACTAATGCAATTATTTGTCTGTGGGTTTCCCAGAAAACCTACTCTCATCACAAACCAAGATCAAAAGAACGAACATCCTTCCGTTTAGGTGGCAGTCACAAAACCAAACCAGTGAATCCGCAGCACTGTGGGTGTCAAGCAGAGAGGCACTCTCTGAGATTCTGTCCACTCGCCTGCAGATGGGGCCCTGACTCACCTTCCTTTCTCTCTGGTCAACCTACCTGCTTCCTTCATACCTGACCCTTGGCTCACGTGGTTCCCAGTCTGGGATACGACAGAGACACCTCCCACCTGCTCCTGACCTCTTATCCTTTCCACCCCAAAGTCAATCCCTCTTGGAGGAGCTTCTGTGCAGAACCAGCTCTTTTCCCTCCCTGTTCTCTGAAGGTCACTTATGGAGGTGAAGCTGCTTTCTAACGGGTCATCTTCTAAAACGAAGCACACTGTCACCGATTGTAGAGATTTTCAGACAACTCTACTCTTATCCCTTTGCTAAAAAATGTCAATATTTCTTGGGGGGAAATTTTAACTTTTTAACAACACACAGTTTGAAAGATTTTCTTCCAATGCTACTTTCGAAATTTCTGCTGTCATTCAAATGGGATCCATAAGGTTGTTCAATGGTCGATAACAGAGGATACTGAAATTACTGATTGAAAATTGGCTGTTTGAAGATCTACTTGCCACTCAGCCATGATTTTTCTCATACATGTTATTTTTAATAACAAACACATCAATAAAAAATTACCTCATCATAAACAGCCGAGACTTCAAATTTGTTCCGTATAAATTTTCTGATGGAGTCTGGGGGAAAAGAGCCACAAAACAGCAAAATTATTTTTTCAGGAAAAATATAAAATGCATATTTAGAAAAAATAGGTTTATCTATGCTTACAAATTATTACTTCTATGTATAGTATTCTATGGTTTTGTTCTTATTTTTTAATGTAGGTAAATAATTGAATTAATGAGCCCTTTGACTCATTAATTGAAAGTGAAAAAGCAAATATTTTTGATTCACTGTTTTGCCAGTGGCAGAATTTAAAGGATTGCTATTCTAAAGGTTTCATAATTTCTCATGATATACCTTAATATTTATTTACCAGCAAACAAAAGGCAGCTCATTAACAATCACTAATAAAATGTTATGTTCAAATTTCTAATTATTATTTGCAAAAAACTTACCTTTTGATAAGTCCACATTTGCATAATATTTTTTTAAATGAGTCTAGAAGTCAACCTAATCCAAAAGTACTTAGTATAGGAAACCCTTCTGTTTCCCATGAGCAGAGCATGAAATGTCATGCAAAATTGCATTTTGTCCTCCTGTTTCATTTTCCTGCATTTTCAAATTCTCATAGGGCTAGGCCAGAAACGAATGATACAAGACAACTGAGGCCAGACAGTGAAGTTGGACAGTGAAGGACATGCTAAGGAAGCAAATAGGGACTGGTGAGCAAGCCAAGGCTCCAGCTCCCCCTCCTGTTGAGCCTCCTACCCACAGTCACACCCCAGGAATAGCTTGTGCAATGCTCGGCCTGCATCCGTCACACCTGACCAGTACCAGGACTGGGGTAAAAGAACCCACTATGAATACTTTTTTAAAACAAGGAAGATCAGATTTACATGCTGGAAAACAAAGCAAAACACATCCCAACAGGGTTTTCTGGAAAACAACTTCCATTCGGTACACAGAAGACACCTGAGCAGGTGTTTAAAGATTAGGCTGCAGGAAAAGGGATAGGGACTGGGGAACCCAAGCAGTTTTTCCACGGCACCCACAGGCTGCACAGGGGCAGGAGGGAGCCCAAGGCAGACCTGCCCGACAGGCTGCCTTCCTCTCAACCAAGCTTTGGTCTGTCCTGTAGATTAGACTTCTATCCGAATTTCACTGGATTAAAGTGATACTGGTCTTGGAAATCAAAATTGGGTCCTCGTTCCCCTGGTGTTGAAGATTAAGCGCCCCAGAAACACTGAGGCAAGCGTAGAAAGCGAATTTTATTTAAGAAAGAGACAGAACAGAGACAGCAAGCTTCTTTGGAGAGAAGTTAGGGCCAAGGCTGATTGCCCATGGGAGTCAGGGGGTCTTGCTTTTTTATAGAGCCCCCGCTCCTTCCTGCAGCTGGTGGCCCTTTCTCTCTGGTGTCTGCCAGCCCCTCCAGGCTGTGTGGAGTAAGCAGGTCCACTCTGAACCTGGGGAGCAGGGGGAGGTATCCTGGGAGCAGGAGCCAACCCTGCGGAACCCAGCTCTGGAACTGGAGCTACTCTGTCTGTCTGCCTCATTCAGACACCAGACCGGAGGACTGCGATTGCAGAAAGTCTCCCTGAGGCTAAGCAGGGACAGATCACATCCTCTGAGTGAACCTGGACAAGGCTCTCTCAATAGCACACACAACAGAAGACTCATAGACAGAGGAGGCAGCTTGGGCCATGGCAGCCACAGAGAAGTGGACTCCCCCAAGTTCTAGCAGGTTCTTCCAGAAGTATGTTTGAGGACCCCCCAACCTCCCCCTGGTGGTCCTGGGAGTCGGAGGAATGGTCCTAGCTACATCTATATCACTACCCCCTGGCAGCTGACTCCTGTTCTTTGGCTGCCAGTAGACACTGTCCCCTTGCTGTGAGGGCAAAAACCCATCTAAGCTTTTGGAGCAGAGATGTTCTCACTTCCTGAGGGATAGAGCAGCACTCTCCTACAGAAATACAATGGGAGCCACTTAAGTGATTCTATTATTTATTTGTAGTTTAATATATATTGAGGAATGACAACTGAACATATTTATGGGATACAAGATAACAGCATGACTTTTGAATGCCAAGTCAGGGCTTAACAAAGTCAACCAACCCAGCCCCAACCCAGCCGTCGCCTCAAACATCTGATGTCCAACCGAAGAATGGATAAAGAAAATGGGGTACGTCTACACAATGAAGTTCTACTCGGCCCTACAGAAGAATGGAATCACAGCATTGGCCGGTAAATGGATGGAACTGGAGAACATCACACCGAGTGAAATAAACCATAAAGGCAAGGGTTGGATTTCTCTCTCCTATACAGAAAAATACGAGATTTTCATGGGATTCTCTCCCCTGCTTTTTCCCCTAGAGCAAAATAAGGGGAAAAAAGGGAGAAGGAATCCCATGAAAATAGAAGGGAGGTCAGCAGAGCCAAGGAAGGGGAGTGAAGTGGAGGGACTGGTAAAGGGAAGAACTGCAGAGTGAATTTGACCAGATTATGTTATGTCCATATATGAATTATACCACAGTGAATTCCACCTGGAGGTGTATCTACAAAGCCCCCGTTTAAAAACAATGAGCAAATACAAGGAAGACCAGCAGGAGACCAGAGGAAGGGGAACGGCGGGGGATGGAGGGGAGGGAAAGAAGTAGTACTGGGGGTTGAAATGAGCAAATTATATTTCATGCAGGTACAATGACATCAAAATGAAACCCACTATTATGTATAACTATCGTGCACTGATAAAACATTTACAAATGCTTAAGAAAAAAGTTGGTATGTCACATGCCATTTCAAAGAAAGCATTCTTAAGAAATTTGCGCCTTTCTTTTCATTTGAGCTAGGTAGACCACCAGGACATGGTAAGTCCATGTATCTAGCAGTTTCCTATACGCATTGTATAGTTTTTCTTTAGTAGTGTATTGAAGAGATTTTTCAGGTTCAGAACTTTTTATTTTCAACAAGTTGATGAAGATGTGCCAAATAAATAAATACATAAATAAAAAATAAAAATATAAAAATTTAAACACAAAATTAAAAAAAAAACAACAATAACAACATTTGATATATTCCACAACAGGCATCTTTGAGATCTGTTCTTCCAGCGACATTAAAGTGTACATTATCAGCTCTTAGCCACTGTGCAACAAATTAAAAAAAAAAAGAAAGAATCAAACAACTTCATTCCTCTTATCTGAAGCATTATGTCCTTTGATTGTCGTTCCCTCCTTCTCCTGCCCACCCCTCAGCCTCTGTGGCAGCCATCCTACCTACCCTCTGCTTGTTTGAATTCATTGTTTTGATTCAACAGTGAGAATATGCCGTGATTGTTTGGCTTACTTCACCTGGCGTGACAGTCTCCAGTTCTACGTATGTTGTCACAAATGGCCAGCATCTCTTCCCTTCTTCAGGTTGAATAGTGCTTCAGTGCATATCTGTACATTTTTTAATCCACTCATCCCTTGGTGGACACAAGGAGATTCCTTAACGTGGCTACTGTGGATAGTGCTGTGGTGAACACAGTGTGCAGGGACCTCCTAGACACACTAATTTAAAATCTTGGTAGATATCCAGAAGTGGAATTGCTGGGTCATATAAAATTCTGTTTTTAGTTTCTTGAGGAACTTCCATACAGTTTTCCATAATGGCTGCACTGAAATTCCCACCAACAGCATACAAGAGTTCCCCTTTTCTCCAGTCTCACCAACATGTGCCATCTCTAGGCTCTTTGGTAATATTCATTCTAATAAGTGATATCTGTCACTGTGGTTTTAATTTGCATCTTGCTAATGATTGGTGACATTGAGCCTTTTTTTTCATATGTCACCTGGTGATTAAGGTACCCATCAACCCCCAGTGACACACAAGACAAGCCACAAACACCTTAACCCTGTGCTTACCAAGGATGATAACATCATGACCAACACCAGCGCTGGTGGTTTCCAAGTAAAAGATTTTATACTGACATTTCCCATCCCCTTTGCCAATCTTTCAGCCCCATGAGTGCAGAGCCCAGTGCGGGTTCTAAGTCAGGTGAGCCATGGTAATGGCAGCCTCCATTTGTTCTGAGTGTGCTGTGCACTTAAACCTGACCCAGTCTTCAGGGTCATTTAACATTATCTAACCATCTGTCAAGTGCAGCCATCTGCCAAGTGCCCACCATGAGCCACACCACGTGATACACACAGGACAGGACGGATAGGTCCTAGGCCACTCTTGTGAAAATAGCCTTCTCTTGCCCTCCAGGAGGCTTCCATGTAGAGATGACAGTGACACCATATCCTTCCTGGGCTCTTGGGGGCGCCTTCCACCACAGGGTCGGAGGCTCTGGCCCCCTCTGCCACACAGCAATTAATTCATCTCCCAGTATGCCAATTCCATGGTTTTTTCAACAACGAAATATTTTCTTGACATATCATGGTGGATGGAAGGCATTTCAGCTAACAGATGAGGAGGTTATTTTCTTAGTGAAAGACTGTTTCTCCGTCTCTGTTCTTGCAGAATCATGTGCAGGACTCCAGAAGAGGGGTTCTGCAGGGTCCAGGAACGGCTGCTGGAAACCTCTCCTTGTTCAACTTCTGGATCTTATGCCTTCCCACCTGGGGGTTGCTTGTAGTTTTATATGAGGATATGAATCAGGAAATCTATCAGCAGGAGGCTAATTCTGATTCCCTTGCATTACACATGCATCAGCTTAGAAGGTAGCTGGGTTTGGTTCTTGGCCCTGTGTGTCAATTCTCTACAGAAGTTGTGTGATGTCTCAAGTCACAGTAATAAGTGCCCTGTGTGGGACCTACATAGGATGGATATACCTCCCTTAGCCCAGTCAAAACTCACCTTTGACCAAGACATTTCTGTTCCCTCACTGACTTCTTTAGTACATATGCAGTTCAACCTCAAGCTGGGCCTAGTAGAATTTCACTCTCAAAATGTTTCCTTGGAAAGTGAATAGAGAATTCTAAAACCCCTGTTATTTGCGGCTGATTTATCAGCTGTGTCCTGAGCTTAAGTGCTCTTGGAAAGATTCTGCTGATGGTATCTGTAAGTCAGTTCTCTTGGGCTCTTGGGTTTG